CTTAGATAATTAACTTAAGCTCTTCATCTGGTACCTGGCACGTGTTAAGTGTTGTGTTACCACTGTTTATCGCCCAGGGCCTCTGAGGGTGGGGGACAGCGGCAAGGTCAGAGATCACGGCGGGGATATTCCTTCCCATCTCAGCCACCAGCTCCCATGGCCACTTTCACCTCAGACTTCAACTCCTGCTGCTTCCCCCTCCCTACCAACAATATTCCTCCAGTTCAGGGCGTTAGTGACCTTGACCCTGACCCGTAATTTACTCCCAGAAAACCTCCCTTAATGCCCGCACCATTCCCCTTCCACATGATACTTGATTGGAAAAGACCCATGACCAGCTGTGTGTTGCCGGAGGCGGAAGACCCCACATGCTGGCTGGTCTCATTTTAATTTTTTACAGTGTAAAATGTTTATATTTAGCATTAGCCAGCTGGACTCAGATCCAATGATCCCAATTTTGTTGGCGACTTCCAAAGTGTCATAGTCTGGGGCCAGTCGGCCATGTGCCTTCTTCCCTGCATCAGGCCCGATCGGGGTGTTGACCCTGGCCGCGTCAGTGTCCTGGAGCTTCTTTACAGCCTGTGTGATCTGGTGCTTGTTGGCCTGGACCTCCACAGTGAACACAAGTGTATCGTTGTTTTCTCTGTCTTCTTTGTGGCTGACTCGACGGTCCAGGGAACTTGATTGATGGCATAGTTAGTGATGAAGCTGCTTTCTCCTAGGCGCTCTAGGTCCCACTTGTCTCAAGTCCTGAGTCCTCTTCTGCATCTCTCGCCTTTCTCCACTGCACCGCCAGTTAATTCCTCCTCTCCTGGGTCATTGTCGCCAGCAGGGAAACGAGTTCTGCTCTCTCCCATACAGAACCAACAAGTAAACTCTCCCTTAGCCCCACATGTCCTCTAGTTGCTGCTACTCCTTTATTTTTCCTTCGCAGCCAAATTTGTTTCCACACCTCACTTCTCATTATCTCCTCAAGCCATTCCTATTAGCTTTTGTCTCCACCCCATGCTTCATGGGAACTGCTCAAATCAGCATCACCAGTGACATCCCTGTCGCTAGACCCAGTAGTCAGGTCCTTCTTGTTCAGCCTCCCCCATCATGTGCACAGTGTCCACCCCTCTTCCACACTCACTTCCTGTGACACAGCCTACCCACTCTTCTTTCCACCTCACCGGCTGCTCCTCAGTTTCCGGGGCCAGCTCCATTGTGCCTGCCCAGTGTAAATCTTGAGTCACCCTGGGCACAGTCTCCTCGCTCTGCTACATTCTTGGCCAATCTCATGCCACTGACTTCAAAATCCATTTCTGCATCTCAGATCTCACCCCTGAGGTCTAGACTCATTTCCTTCGATGAGTTGATGTCTCCACATGAAATGAATCTCTAAAGGCTATCAGGCTTGGTCATATGACTTGCTCTGGCCAATGAAATTTAAGGGGAAGTGACATCACTGTCTTCTCTTTTCCCCTTTCTGTGGTGATCAGCAATATTCCATGTACTAGTCCGTCAGCCTAGTTCCCAGAGAGAAGAATGTCATGAAGCAGACACACAGCTCACTCACAGTAAACACACAGCAGGAGCAAGAAATAAATATTTGCTGTATACATAACTGAGGTTTGGGGGGTGGGGTTGTTACGGCAGCATAATCTAATTTATCCCAATCACTATATGTAAGAGGGGAAGCAGCTCTTTAAACCGCATGAAGATGGGTTTTCACCACTCAGCACAGCTGTGTGGTGATCGCACTGCTTTGACGGAAATACAGTGGAGTTACAGCTCACAGTGGAGCCAGATCCTCAGTCAGTCCCTGCTCCAGGTTTATCCTGAAGGTCCCTTTCACTGCCCGTACAATACAGAACAGTTTGATCATTGATGAAGTTCAACGCAGCCTATTTTCCTCCAGCACTGGAGCAAATGGCTTTTCTTGGTCGAATACCAGATAAAGGAATGGACTTGTTTATGACTGCTTGTAAAAGAAAAATCTGGCCCTGGCTGGTGTAGCTCAGTGGATTGAGCACAGGCCTGTGAACCAAAGCATCACCAGTTTGATTCCCAGTCAGGGCACATGCCTGGGTTGCAAGCCATATCCCCAGTATGGGGTGTGTTAGAGGCAACCACACATTGATGTTTCACTTCCTCTCTTTCTCCCTCCCTTCCCCATCTCTCTAAAATAAATAAATAAAATCTTAAAAAAAAAAAAGAAAGAAAAATCTATCTTTACAGAGAAAAATCAGCCCTGGCTGTGTGGCTCAGTGTTTTGTGTGCCGGCCTGGGAACCAAAGGGCCAGCAGTTCCATTCCCAGTCAGGGCATACGCCTGGGTTGTGGACCAGGTCCCCGGTTGGGGGCGTGCATGAGGCAACTGATAGATGTTTCCCTCCCTTTCTTTCTCCCTTCCTTCCCCTGTCTCTGAAAATAAATTAAATTTAAAAAAATATATATTAAAAAAGAAAAATCCCTTTCAGCATGGAAAGATGTTGTTTACCAAATCTATTTTCTCTTCTTCCTAGGCCCACCACTCATCTCTATTTCCCAACCTCCCTTGCACACAGATGTGGCCATACGACTGAGTTATAGCTCATGAGATGCGAATAGAGACAGTAGGCGGCTACTCATGAGGGCCTATAACCCAGTCACCTCCTAAAGGCCCTACCTCTAAATACCATCACATTGGGCATTAGGTTTCAACATGTGAATTTTGTGGGCGCACAAACATCCAGGCCACAGCAACACACGATGTGACTCCACTGAAGTGCCCCCATCAAATGTAGTACCTCCATTCAGCCCAGACTTTCCCCACCCCTCCCTCCAGGAGGTCCCAGGGTCACCTGATCCTAGGCTGTAAACCCAGGTTCATCCTCTGCAGGTTCCTCCCAGGCTGTCTGTCCAGCCACCAGACCTGGGACGGAAGGCACCAGGTGCATATTCCACTCAAGTGGGAGATGCTCACACTCCTGCCCAACTCCCCCTCTCCTTCTTCAGATCAGGTAGCTGGATTTACAGACTCCTGACATCACTGTCAATGGATAGGGCCCAAGAGCCAGGAGGCATTCAGGGACATAGGGCTTAAGTGCTCTGAGGACTCATTTGGTTGGAGTTGACTCAGGAAGGATGAAAGTCTTCTCACACCTTGACTGGGAGCAGGCCAGGTAGAGGGATGCTTACAGAGCTGGAGGGGCAGCTCAGCTTTGTGAATCACTATCATCTTCAAGTATAAATGTGTCCCTGCCACCACCCTAACTAACACTCGGCATTCATCTTACAAGGGGCCCCCAGGAAAGTCCAGGTGAGTTACTGCAGCACTGTTCATGGTGGCAGAACTTGGTCGAACAAATCGATGACAGACGTCTATGCCACTGTTAAGACCACTTATGTGGACTGCTGTGTACGGTCAATGTTAAGGGTGCAGGATTTGGAGCCAAGCCAGCCAGGCTGGCCTCCTTCTCCTCAGGACCTCTTTCCTTGTTAGAAAATGGGCCATCAAAGGCTTGCTGTATCGTTTAGTACGCAGTACAGTACAGCTGTCAGGTAAATGGGATAACAAGCAACAAACACTTGGAACAGTGGCAACTTGTTAGCAGAACAGCGCAAAAAACTTTCAAAGTATGGAAGGATATCTGTGTAAAGACAGACACACATAAGCAATGAGCAGCAGTGGTGTCCTCCGGGGAGAAGTGAGAGCTTAAGATGGCAGTTAACTTCATCGTCCTTTTGTAGTGTGTGCGGTTTAATCTGTTTTGTCCTGTGAATATTTGCCTCCTATTTTGAAAGTTTCCTTCAATGGCTCCATGCGGCCCTCAGGATGGGCCAAATGCCCTACTGGGCTCCTCAGGTTGCCTGATGGCTCCCCACAATCTCTCAGCAGTGCTCCATTCCCGCCAAGCCCCAGCACGCGTTCCAGCAATATCATCTCAACAAGCTCCATCTCCTAAACTTGCTCTCTGGCCTCCCTGCTCCCTTAGCTGAAAATCAGCTTTTTTCTCTGCGTTAACTCTCCTGGCCCCAATCTCTCCCTATCAGCTTCCTAAGATGCCCACACCCTTTACCACAGGCACCTAAGTGCTACAGCACTTACTACTCACAGGCCAGCAGGGGAGACAATGCAGCAGGGAGGTCCCCGACAAACCCTGGCGAGGGCTGAGGGCTGAGGGCCAAGGGCCAGCTGGAAGCAGTGGCCTGTTCCCACAGATCCTGGGCTTAGGACAGGAATTGAGGCTCAACACATCCCGGCTGAATTTCAGCTCTCCTGGACTTTAGGGCCTCTTGGCTAAGCTATTCTAAGAACAAAATGAATGTTTGCAACAACCCCCAGCACAGGATCTGGCATGTGGTGGGCTCAATATAGTTTGAAAAAGAAAGCCAGTGCCAGCCAACAGAGAAAGCTCAGATGGTAGGAGTAGCTGTTAGGGACAAATGTCCAGGACAATGTCTACCATGTGGAGATGCCAAAAAAAATGTGTACGGGACACATTTTCAACCTGCTCAGGAAGAAGAATCTATCACCTGGAGTTTATCAAAATGGCAGACTTCTGGGCCCACCCCTACAGATTCCAACTCTGGCGCAGGTCTTAGCAGCTGAGTTTTTAAAATATATCCCACAGGTGGTATAAGGACTGCGCTCTTGAGAAACCAACTGACTACTTGTGAGTATTTATTAAGCAGCTATGATATCCCAGGTTAAAGTTGATCTTCATTGTAGGGACAGAGAAGGAACAAGAAAAGTCAGTGCCCTCATGGAGTTTACATTCCAACAGGGGTAGACAATGTCAGGCATACACATAAATGCAGACGGCTAGCGACAGCATCATACAAGAAAGGAAGCAGGCGGGCAAGAGGACATGGCATGTCTTGGGTGGCAGGGAGAGCCTCTCTCTGAGGTCTCTGTGCAATGAAGAGGAGCTAGCCAGTAAACAACTGAGGGAAAAGCAGCCAGGCGGACATTCCTTCTTCGCCAAGCTCAACCCAGCCCCGGTCCAAGGCTATTTCAAAGGAAAGCAAGTCCAGGACAGTGAAGCCCCTACCTTTATTATTCAGGCTTTCAGAGCTAAGATAGATTAGAAAGAGGACACTATAATGGAGAAGAATACAGATACCTCCTTGTCTCCCAGCCACAGGACCCGCTGGCTTCCTCTGGCCAGAGGCAGAGGTCTCATTCCCTGCCTTTTGGGAAGCCTGGTCCTTACCCCATCTCCCTCATGCAAGTGTCCCTCAAGTCTCAGGCCGAGCCAGACCTCAAGGCCAAGCCAGCAGGTCTGAAAATGCCCAGTCCTCAGGCATGCCTCTTGGTGCCCCCCGAAGCACTGCCCACATGGGTGGGAGCTCCTGAGCATCCTTCCTGATTTGGAGTCCACGGGTAGAACTGGTCTTCAGGATTATGGAGAACATGACATCACTAAAGAGGCTGACACCCTTCCCAGCGGGTTGGACAACATGTTAGGAAGACACAAGCCTGGACCTCCTAGGAGGGAAAGGGGAGCCGCGCGGCACAGTGAGACTCCAGGGCAGGTGGGTAGCCAGAGGCAGGAAGTTCTAGGGTCACTTCTTCTTTGCACGATCTGCTGCATCCAGGGCAGCCATGTTGCGGGCGGCTGTGACCAGGTGGATGACACTGATGAGGGACTTAAGCAAGGCAACAGGGGCGGTGATCCACAGTCCCATTCGGAAAAGACCCACAGAGCCAACTGTGGAAGAAGCAAGAGCAACACTGAGAAAATGGGACACAGGTGGGGGAGGGGCCCATGAGTCTTTGGCCTTCATCTCCCTGGGCGGGCCAGAACCCCTCCCACCCTCCAACCCAGCCCCTCATCTCCTACCTAAAGGTCCCTCGGAGAAACTGAACAGGTAGAGGAGGCAGTAGAAGAGCTCATTTCCAGCACACATGGTGAACAGAGCAGGCTGCACAAACAGCAAAAACACTGCTTAAACAAGAGGGTGGGGAGGGTGCACCCCCCACCCCAACACAGACACACAAGGACGGGGGAGCAAAACCCTCTGAGGACGGGGAGCTGGAACTGTACTGGGGAAGTGAGGGTGCAGTTGGGGAGGTGGGTGAAGAGCAATCTCAGCATATCACCTCTCTCTTTAAAAGCCACTTGCTGTCTGGAGCAATTCACACAGGCCCTTCCACTAATCCCACCCTCCTTCATACCTCAGCTTATAGGCCTCTCCTCCCCTGGGCTGGTTGTTCCCGCTTTGTGCTCGTACCCTCTCCTAACCTGGGACCAGGGCACAGCCCAGAATTTGGCACTAGCTGAGTAAATAAGGGAGGAGTAGGAAATACTCACTCTGGAGGTATAGTAGATGCGAAGCACTGGATTTCCAGACAGGTCGATCGTCTTGTGACTTTCACTGCCTCGGACCACAGAACTTGGGGGGAAAGGAGGGGAGTCCATGAGAATTCATTACTATTGACACCCATGTAATCCTCACAGCACCCGCCACAAGGAAGGTACTGGGACTGCCTCTGTTGTACACAGGAGGAACTGGAGCCCAGCCGAGGACCACTGTCTTGCCCAAAGTTACACAATTACCTAGTTGGGGACAGAGCCAAGATTCAAATGCCACATTCAAAAGCCCCCACGCCCCTTCCCAAGAGCTGTTATCTATTTGGAATCCTCAAATATCTAGCAAGAAGAGTTTTAGGGACTGCTTAATTTAACTATAAATAGGACTTAAACTGACTCAGAGAGGACTTGCCCATGGTCCTTCAACAAAGCAAGCTGAAAAGGAGACCTCTCAAGAAGCCTGAAGCCATTCCAGACACCCTCCCATATAGTCTCCCTACTAGAGTGTCTTCTTCAGCCGGTCAACACCCCCAGAGCCACACACCTGTGGAGGTGCAGCCAGTGGCTGGCCACATCAAGGCTCATGCTGAGCTGGAAGAGGAGGGTGGCGCGAGGGTACAGCAGCGCCAGGTTGACCAACAGACACATGGTGGAGCAGCGGTCTGTCAACATGTCCAGCATGGCCCCAAACCGAGTCCCTGAAAAACAGGGCTATTAGTTGGGAAGGGGCTGTTAGGGAGCAGGGCATCTGCAACAAGGGCAGTATTTGGTGTATCACTCTGATATGCGAAGTCTAAAAGATGGAAAATGTCCACCACTCACTACCTGGGGAAGAAAATGGACTGCTCTCCACAGGGTGTGAGTCGGTGCAAGGGCACCATGACATAAAATGAGGAGGCATGGGAGCGTGAAGAGAGAGTGGAAGAGGGGTGAGAAAGTTAGTTTACAACTAACTCATCAATCGCAGAACTAAGGTCTCAAAGCAAGGAGACTTGAAGTATTAGGGGAAGTCTTGGAGGTGGGCCTGCAGAACAGATTCAACCCCCCAGAAGCCATCTTCCTTCTCTCTCCATCCTCCCTCTATACAGGACTTCTGGAGCCGGGATTGCTGTGCTTGGCACACAGCAGACACCCAGTAAACACCTACTGAACGGATAATAATGCAGAGATCTCCAGCACTGCCACTGCCATGTCCAGTCTTGTCAGTTCTTTCAACAGCTAGCTTAAATCCCTTTGTTTTAAAAAGGGACTTCTCAGTTCTGCTTGAGAGATGGGAATGACGGAGCCCCGATTCCCGAGTACCCGCCCACCCTTAGGTCCTGAGGAGGCAGGAAAGGGGGCAGTGGGTTGCTGTGCCTCAAGGCTGGCTGGCAGGAGTTGTCTGTCACCTTGATTAAGGGTTCGAGCAGCATGTCCATCGAAAGCGTCCAGAAGTCCACTGAGCAGGTAGAAAGAGGAGGCCGTGAGAGGGCAGCAGGGCATGAAGTAGAAAGAAATGATGGCGAAGACAATCCGGGCATAACCTTAGGATGGGACAGGGCAAACAGGGAGGGATCAGGGAGCTTGCCCAAAGCCCCTCTCTCAGCCGTTCGGCCCGGAGCCGAGGGCAGCACTCACCAATTAGGTTAGGCACAAAGAGGAAGATATTTTCGCTTGGCATCGCGGCGGTGCCCTTACTGCCCCGGGTCGGATCCGGAAGTGCCAGCTCTGTCTCGGCCCCGCCGCGCGGCGTCACACTCCGACCCGGCACACCGGCCGCGCCAACTGCGCGCAAGACCCCACAGTCCCTGCCTGGTCCCAGATACTAAAGCTCACTGCTGGCGGGGGCATAAGCAGCCCCTGATGTGCGCGGGGCACAGAGAGCTCGCACACCCAGCCCTTCTTATGGGCAGACCCTCGTCTCCGCCGGCCCCGGAGGCGCTACAGCCTCCAGCTGTGGTCCCTCCTGCTCCAGTGGGGCTCAGCTTCCGAGAGCCTACTCTTCTGCGCTCATACTTCTAAATTTGGAGAAAGGAAAAAGAGGATTTTAAAAAATGGCTGCGGCCCCTTTAAGATCAGCCCGCTTCCTTTTCCTCCCTTTGCCCCTTCGCAAAGGCTCGTACCAAAGTACCGAGGGAGGAGAGGGGGCAAAGTATCGACGCCGAGCAAAGGAAGGAGAGGTCCAAAGAGTAGGAGGCCTATAAAAATATATTTCCTTTCCTTTTCTTTACGAGGAGGGTGTGACTTCCTGCAGACAAATATAAGGGGAAAAGGTTCCATCCTCCCGAGTCTCTGCGTGCCCGAGGCCAGGGTATTTAGTACAGTCCACATTGCTTTCTTCCCCGCCCCGCCTCGCTCGGGCCTCATTGGTTCCAGCAGGCCCGGACTAAGAGATGATGGCTAGAGAGGCAGAAGGGCGGCCTAGGGCGAGGCTGCTACTTGCTTGCCCCTAGTGGTAGGAGAATTAGGTCCCAGGCTCCACCCTAAGTGATGTTCCCAAATTTCTCCAGCCTCCAGCGCTGGAGTCACAGCCCTCAAAGCCGGGGTGGAGAAGAAGCCAGAGGAGCGAGTGCGACTTGCTAGGAAAATGCTCCCCTTCCCCTCCCCCACTCCCGGCCTTGAGTTCTAGAATCCCTAATCTCCTGGCTACGGGACTGCGGAATCCTCGCAAACAAGGGTTTTATAGCAACGGGTAGCGACGCCGCCCAGGTTGCCCCTCTTTCCTTACCTTCCTCCCCAGCTCCAGCTTCCCGTCTACCCCTAGATCTCCCCGCCTCCCCTCCTGCTGAGTAGCCCAAGATTTCAACCCATCTGCCAGGTTGGGGGCGGCAAATCGGCTGCCTAGTCTTGGGAAAGGCTTTCTTTGGGTGGAAGGAAACAGAGGCCTCCAGAGCCTGTGGGGGGAGGGGATTGTTTTGGGACTTCCCACCCCACTCTTCATCCAAGGAGTATTTAAGGCAACGATTCCCCGCCCCCGGTCCCCCCCCACACACACCCAGAGAACTGAGACAAGGTGGTTTATCTAGACTCCTCATTTAAATCTAGGCCTGGGGAATGGTGTTAAGAAGGGTTTGGGGGAAGCAGGCTGGTTTCTCAACCTAACAAAGGCTCCAACTGTTCCCAGGGGGATGGAATCCACTCGTACCAGGAACAAGGAGAAAAAGGGCAGCCAGCTGTCCCAAGCTACAACATTCTTGGGTGGAGGTTCGGTGAGCATTGAAAGGGAGTGCTAAAGGTGGAGGTAAACTGAAGTAGACAGCTCTTAGGCTGAGGGCACTGGGACCTCCTCACCTAGCCCATAGCCTTCAGCACTAGGCCCTGAGGCCTCCAAAGGCTTGCTCCCCACTTACAGCGCCTTCTAGGCCAAATCCCAAGGCCCAGCCCTTTACTACCAGACTTCTTAGACCCATACCCTGCAGCCTGTGAGCCCCTAGACCCAGTACTCCCATGTAGGAGTTTCCAGGCTGACCCTTCTGACTTTTCCTTTATCAGAAGGCTTCATTATCCCATTCTGAGGAATTTCTGACCCAGATCAGTGCAGAACTCACCGACGAGGCCTTGTTTATTGCTGGTTTCTACAAGAACCCTGTGCCGACCAAGGAAAAGCAGACACAAGACAAAGGAACTCAGATGTCCAAACATGGTGATTCTCCCCCACCTCAGCACCACTGTGTCCAGGGACTCTCCCATGCCTCCCGCTCAAGCTCCTGACTCCCTCCCAACTGCAGCTGACCTCTGAGAATCTGTGCCCGACTCCCTGATCTCTTAACCAGACTACCCCACACCTGCTAATCCAGGGCCCACTCCTCACTGGTGCAGGGGATCACCTCAGCCCCTTCCTCCCTAGCCACATACGCTTTTGGCCATGTAATTAGAGGATAGTAATTTCTCTCTCTGGGGCCTCTACTTTCAGTGATCTTCACCAAGACTCGAGGCACTGACACCTGGTGAGTGAGGCTTCAAGGGAGATGCCCTTTGTCCTAGGAGAAAGATGGGGAGCTATAAGAGGAGAGAGTGAGGGTGTGACAACATTTCAGCAGGGTAGGGGGATTTTTAGACGTTGTAGTCCTATTCTCTTCTGCTCTGACCCTTGAACTCAGAGTTCTTATCCCTGTTCTTTCCTTCCGCCATCTGCAGCTCTGACAGAAACCATGCCTGCACCAAGGCATACCTCCTGCCCTCCCCTCATGACAAGGTATGTCCAGGGTCCCTGGATGGCAAGGTCATTCAGTATTAACCAAACATGTAGAGTTTGCATGATATGTCAGTCCCTGTTTTAGGAACTGGGACACCGAAGGGAATGATACAGTTGTTGCTCTTGCAGAGCTCCCAGTTTAGTGTGGGGCCAGTCAAGTATGGCCAGTTACAGTGTACTGTGGGTGAGTGTCCATGACGAAAATGGAAACAGCACGAAGAGCACTTGTCCCAGTCTCAGCTGGGACAGAAACAAAAGAATCATGGAGATTCCTGGAGGAGGTGACATCTACATAAACAATTTCCCAGGAAAAAATGAGTTAGTAGGGGTATTCCAAGTGGCAGGGCTTGTGTGAGCAAAGGCACAGAGGTGAGTGCCAGTAGAATGAGTGTGAGAGAGTGTGTGTATTCTCAGGGCCGGGAGAGGATGGGCCCAGAATAGTTTAACTGCTGAAGTATGCAGGCAAGGCAGCCAGGACTAAAGTAAGATCCTTATGTATGCCTTATTAAGATCCATAGATGTTTTTCTAGCTGAAGAGTCAATGAAGAGTTTTGATCAAGAGAGGTTGGAATGTGCCCTGGCTGGTGTGGCTCAGTGGATTGAGCACCAGCCTGTGAAGCGAAAGGTCACTGGTTTGATTCCCAGTCAGGGCACATGCCTGGGTTGCAGGCCAGGTCCCCATTTGGGGGCATGTGAGAGGCAACCAATCAATGTGTCTCTCCCACATTGATGTTTCTCTCCCTCTATCCCTCCCTTCTTGTCTCTCTAAAAATAAATAAATATAATCTTTAAAAAAAGAGAGAGAGAGGTTGGAATTTTAGATTAGTCATGCTGGTGGTCAATGGGGAGAGTGAACTGAAAAGGGGAGAGACCAGAGGCGGGGTGGCTAGTTAGAAATTATTTCAGGAGACTAAGCTAGAGATGATTAGGTCCTGAATTGTCACAGTAATAGTAGAAATGAGAGCAAGAGCAGATATAAGAAATAAAGACCAACCCAAATCAATCTGTAGATTCAGTGCAACCTCTATCAAAATACCAATGGTATTTTCACAGAAGTAGAACAAATAATCCTAAAAATTTATATGGAACCATTAAAGACTTAAATAGCCACAGCAATTTTGAGAAAGAACAGAGTTGGTGCTATCATGTTACTAGATATCAAACTGTACTGCAAAACTATAGTAATCGAAACAGAATGGTACTGGCATAAAACAGACACATAGATCAATGAAACAGAATAGATAGCCCAGAAATAAAGCCATGCCTATATGGTTGATTACTATACGACAAAGGAGGCAAGAACACACAGTGGGGCAAAGGCAGTCTCTCCAATAAGTGGTGTTGGAAAAACTGGACGTATACATGCAGAAAAAATGAAACGATGACTTTTTCATACCATATCCAAAAATAAACTCAAAATGGATTAAAGACATAAATATTAAGACAACCATAAAACCTCCTAGAAGAAAACATAGGCAGCAAACTCTTTGACATTGCTTTTAGTAATATTTTTTAAAAGATTTTATTTATTAGCCCTGGCTGGCGTAGCTCAGTGGATTGAGCGCGGGCTGGAAACCAAAGTGTCCCAGGTTCGATTCCCAGCCAGGGTACATTCCTGGGTTGCAGGCCATAACCCCCAGCAACCGCACATTGATGTTTCTCTCTCTCTCTCTCTCTCTCTCTCTCTCTCTCTCTCTCTTCTCTCTCTCCCTCCCTTCCCTCTCTAAAATAAATAAATAAAATCTTAAAAAAAAAATAAATAAATAAAAAAGATTTTATTTATTTATTTTTTAGAGAGGGAAGGGAGGGAGAAAGAGAGAGAGAGAGAAACATCAATGTGCAGTTGCTGGGGGTCATGGCCTGCAACCCAGGCATGTACCCTGACTGGCAATCGAACCTGCGACACTTTGGTTCGCAGCCCACGCTCAATCCACTGAGCTACGCCAGCCAGGGCTAGTAATATTATTTTTTTATATCTCTTCAGGCAAGGGAAACAAAAAATAAATAAACAAATGGGACTTCATCAAACTAAAAAGTTTTTGTATAGCAAAGGAAACTATCAACAAAACAAAAAGACAAACCTGCCTAATGGGAGAAGATATTTGCCAATGAAATATCCAAGAAGTGGTTAATGTCCAAAATTTATAAACAATTCATACAGCCCTGACCAGTGTGGCTCAGTTAGTTGGGCATCGTCCCGCAAAGTGAAAGGTCACCAGTCTGATTCCCAGTCAGGGCACACGCCTGGGTTGTGGTCCAGGTCCCTAGTGGTGGGGGTGTGAGAGGCAAGCAACCAGTGTTTCTCTCAAAATGTTTCTCTTCCTCTATTTCTCCCTCCTTTCCCCTCTCTCTAAAAATAAATAAATAAAATCTTTAAAATCAAGAAACGTGTCTTCGGATGAGGATTAAAAATAAACAAACAAACAAAGCAGAAGAAGATTCACAGACACAGAGAACAAACTGAAGGTTGCCAGATGGGAGGGGAGTTGTGGGGCTGGGTGAAAAAGAGGAAGGGATTAAGAGGCACGAATTGGTAGTCCCAAAATAGTCATGGGGCTGTAAATAAATCATAGCATCTGGAATACAGTCAATACTATTGTAATAAGTGTGCATGGTGCCAGGTGGGTACTAGACTTATCAGGGAGATCACTTTGTAACTTATGTAACTGTCTAACCCCTATGAATGCTAGAAACTAATATAAAATAATATCAAATGTGAACTGTAATTTTAAAAGAAAAAAAAGCAGGAAAATTGAGTTTGGTCATTGATTAGAAGTGTTAGGGGGAAAAAGTGCAGGAATCAGATGATTGCCAGGCTCTGATTCGGGTCACCCTAAGTCTGGTGATGTTGTGCCTCTGCTTAGAACTCTACAGTGATTCCATTTTGAGTAAAAGCCCGTGTCCTTCAGTGGCTTACAAGGCCCTACGAGATCCCTGACCCCACTGTCTCTCCAACTTCATTGTCTAGAATTGCTCCCCCAGTTTATACCACTTTCAACCCTGCCAGCCTTCTCGTTCTTCATGGAGCATGGAAGGCATCCTCTCACCTGGGGGACAGACTGGGTTTGATGTGCCCGTAGAAATTCCAGATGGAAATACTCTTTAGACAGTTTGAAATACGGCTTCAAACTCATTGGAGCAGTCTGAGCTGGTGAGAGAGGTCTGATCTAGAAGGGAGGTGGCATTTGAAGGGTGTGCAGTTGCCCTGGGCAGGGTGGGGGGTGTGCAGAGAAAGAAAGGGTGCTGAGGATGAAGGTGTGGAGAACCTTTCTTTTAAAGAGCTTGGCAGAGGAGAGCGGGGTTCGTGAAGAAGGCAGAAGAGGAACTATCAACAAGTGCTTATTGAGTGTCTGTTATGTGTCAGGTCCCACAGGCCATGGGGATAGTAATGTCTCTGACAGAGGCTGCTGCTTCAAATGTTTGCGATCAAGACCAGAGGCAAATGCAGCCCACAACAAGCCACTGTTCTTGTCCTAAAGAAACGGACTTGCTAGTGTCTTTGGGACATTTGATATTTCCCATTTGGGCTTTGGTGTTAGAAGCAGCTTGAATAGCAAAAAAAGCCCTGGGCCTGAATAGCTAACTTGCTATTCATCTGACAGCTGTCATCCTATAGTACAAGTTGCTTCTCCTTTCCCCGTATGTCAAAGGGGGGCTTTGGACAAAATGCCCTGTGAGAGCCCTACCTGCCCATAGAATGGTTTACCTCTCCTTCCTGATAGTGGTTAAATGAGGATTTCATCCTGAGCTAATGCCCCCTCATCCACCTGCCAGCCCCCAGGGGTTCCAAGAGCCTTTGCCTTCCTCATCCTCAAGAAAGAACATGGAAGCTTACAGATCTTTGAATTGCCCCTTGAATTGTAGGGCATTGTAGGTCAAAATGTTGGGTGGGGAAATGGATGAATAGACTGGGGAGGGTAGGTAGATGGGCAAATGGATAGATAAATTCATTGAACATTTAATAAGCCCTATGTGCCAGCACTGCTCTAGGGGCTGGAGTATAGAAGTGAGCCATATGGAGTCCCTGACTTCAAGGAGTTCGGACGGAGGGTAAGGGATTAGATGGTAGAGAGATGGGTGGGTGATGAATGGGGATGGGGGATAGGTGGGCAGACAAGTGAGTGGAGAGATGGATGGGGAATGATGAGTAGATGTGTGGGTGGATAGATGATGAGTAGAAGCAGAACAGTGAGTGGATAGATAGATGGGTGGGGGGTAAGGGTTGGATGGATAGATGAATGGAAGGATAGCCCTGGCTAGTGTGCCTCAGTGATTGAGTGCTGGCCTGCAAAGACGTTTTGGTTCACAGGCCAGCACTCAATCCACTGAGTGCTGGCCTGCAATTCCCAGTCCAGGCACATGCCTGGGCTGCAGGCCAGGTCCCCAGTAGGGGGTGAGCGAGAGGAGACCACACATTAGTTTCCCTCTCTTCCTCCCTTCCCTTCTCTCTAAAAATAAATGTCTTAAAAAAAAAAAAGAATGGAAGGGTTAAAAAAATACATGAGTCTTGGGTCTATAGTCAAATTCTCTTTTTCTTTTCCAGGGAGCTCTGCCTAGCAGCTTGACATCTGGAGGATGACCCCAACGCTTTCTAGTGCTGCTCTTGCCCTCTCGTGCCCTCCCCCGTACTGTCCCTCTAGAACAAGCCTCAAAGCTCCTCTTTCACAACTCATTAATCACTTCAGTTTGTGTGTGTGTGTTGGGGTGGGGAACTCCTGGTCATAAGCAGCATCCTCCCTGAAGCCTCCAAAATGTTCTGGAAACATCAGACCCCTTTCTATTAGCAGCTGGAAAGGACATCACCAGAAATCCAAGGCTTTAATAAAGAGGCAGAGATCCTTCCCTTCTTCCAACCCAGGCAGTGTTCTGGTGTGACTTTTCTGGCATGGAAATGTGGGAGGAGTCACCTTTTCTTTTACCCCCAGATGTGGGTAATTATTGGGATGGCTTATTATTGGAGTGGTTTTAATTCAGGGTATCATCCCTCAGCCTGCTGGCAGAGGTGAGCTCATGGATCCCCACCCAGCCTTCTAGCCAAACTTCAGCACCTTCAGGGATAGGCCTGTGGCATCTGACCAGGTCTACCCTTGCTTCTGAGGTGCAGCCCCTGCTACCAAAAACAGCACTGCAGTATCCCCCTGAGCTTTGGGGTTTCGTGCCCATGGGGACATAACACGCTCATTACTGGCCAGAAGGCAGTGCAGTGGGCTTTGTGGAATTTACATTTATATCCCAGTCTGGCCACTACTGCAGCTTTCCGAGGAAGTCAGCTCACATCTGTGAGCCTGTTTCCTCATCTGAAAGTAGGAATAATTGTCCTTTCCTCTCAGGGTCCTTGTGAGGGTTGGAAACAATGCATGCAGATTAGCGCGGTGCCCAGCACAGCATAAACGCCCCAACACTTAGATTATTATCAAGATCAATTTGCCTCACATTCTCCTAAAGTTCAACCCCCATTTGAGTATTTTAGTATCCTTTTGAGGGACCTAAATGTTAAACTGATTTAAATATAAATTTTTAATTAAAATTCAATTAACTTGAGACCCTTTAGACAAACAGTCTATAGACTTCTTCCAGTGTGCACAATTAGATGAAGAAAAGGACACTGATAGGATACGAAACAAGCTCCTTGTTTAAGAAATGCTGAAAATATGACCAATACTGGGTAGACCTGCAAAGCAGATATGCTGAATTGCCAAAAAGATGGGGTGTGGGGGGAGAGTATACTTAGATGGATACCGAAATTCTCAAAAGGGGGTGAACTGGCTGTGAAACAAAGCGACGGGCGTCTGTCCCCGGTCAGTCAGTGAGGTGAAACAGGTGGCTGCTGTCAGCTATGTCCAGCTGGAAGGGCCTCGAGACATCTCATCCTGCTGGAGAGCCAGCTGAGGCACAGAGGGGGCTCATCCCAGTCAGTCCTCCACGAAGGCTGACCCTAAAGCCCGCTGTTTTGACCCCTTGGTAGTGCCCTGAGCCTAGTCTTAGATTTCCATCTTCTTTTCCAAATGGTTTCCCTTCTCCCAGCCCTCCCTCCAAAGAGGCCACCATCACCACCTCCAACGCTCAGCGGCCCTCCTTCCCACACCCCACCAGCCCAGTTACAAATGGTGATTTTCTGTTTATTGGTCAAAAACAAAAATCCAGAAGCAGAGGTGGAAAGAGATTGTGAGTCGGGGAGACAGCAGGAAGGGGTAGGGGCCTTCTTGTCCCAGCTCTCCCCTTCATCCTTCTTCTGACCCTCCAAGGCCCAGGGTTTAGGCTGGAGCCAGAGCATCTGGGAAGGGCAGAGCCTTCATGGCCGAGGGAACAGCAGAGCTCTCAGGGGCAGTCCTTACGGGGTAACCTGGGCTGGAGGGCCCCAGGAGTTTCAGGAGAGCTGAGTTCCCATGCCAGGATCCAAAGCCAATAGGATGGGTTGGGGTAGGCCCCTTGTTTGGCAACTGAGAAGAGGAGGTTTTGGGTGGCAGGATGCTGGTTTATTTACTGTAGGGCCCCCATGGCCGTCAGAGCCCCTGCCCCCCACCGTGGGACTGGGAGACTATTTACACAGCAGGGAGGAAAGGAGCCAGAGACCACCAGGTCCTGTACTCCTGCCTGCCCAGAATGAGGAGGGGAGGGGCATCTTGGGTCCTGTAGCCTTAGTCTTGGGGTTCAGATGGAAACTTCATACTCCCGTGTATCCTGGAGACAGAGAGATGGGATCGGTTGCTGGGGTGGCATGAAGGTGGAGGAGGCAACAAAATGAGAGAGGCCACAAGGAAGGGGAAAGACACTGGATTTTTAAAGTAACATTAGTGGGTTGGGGGCCATGGTGTGGGAGTGGGGCTGAATCTGGCCAATAGATGTTTGGTTCATCCTACACTATGTTAAACTCACATTTAAAAAATCTGAATTTCTGGACTGTCTTGAACAATCTGGTAATTGGGCCTGTTTCCACTATGGACTAGATGGGACTCCGATTCTCTGGTTAACCAAAGTCCTCACCACTCCCTATTGTGCACACCTGACTTGCTTTGTTCATTGATGTGGCCTTTGTAGGCAGACACCTTGAGAGAAGGTTATAGAGTCCTGGGGGACCCGAGAGAGGTGGCATTCCAGGGGAGGGGAGGGCTCACCCCAGCTTCATACAGTGGATTGCTGAAGTCTGACTCCACAGTGATGGGGCTGTAGGAATGGGAGCCTGAGAAGCCGAAAAGGGATTTCCCCTGCAGCCTGGGAAATAGAGGAGACAGAGAGGCTTATAGAGAGGTGAACCCCCAACACCCCCTCCCCCAGTCTTCTGCGCTGGTAGGAAGGGTGTCAGCCCTGGCTGCAGCTCCCTGAGTATGGTACGTACTTGGTGTAGTATATGTAAACGCCACTGCCGAGGACAATGACCAAGCCTAGGGGCAGCAGGATGGCCAAGGCGAGGTTCCCACTCTCCAGCTGCCGTGATGGGTCAGTGGTCTGGGTCACTGGAGGGAGGAGGAGAGGCCACTGAGCTGGAGCTGGGCTGAGCCCTGGGCTCTCCCAGCCTCCTGCCCTGGGCCCTGAGCCCTGGGCCCTACCCCTCCGGGGCCTGGCCTCCTGCCCCCAGCCTCTGCCTTGCCCTCCCGACTCATCCAGGCCTGGGTCTCCACCTGTGCCCTCACTGACCTTCCAGTTTTCGGTTGTCCTGGAGCTCCTCATAGGCCACTGCAGGGAGAGGAGGGGGAGGGGACGGGGTCTGAGCCAGGGAGGGAAGGAGGCTGGGTAGAGGGCCAGGAGCCCAGTAGGGCTGGGCTGGACAGCCTGATTCTCTCTGACTTCTGCCAACCTAAACTTGATCTTTCCCTTAGTGGGGGTGGGGAGGAGGAGTCAGAGCAGGGCCTTCTTCCTCTCCTTGTTCCTCGTTGTGGGCAGTCTAAACCACCCAGGTCTGCAGCATTTTCAAAAACAGGGAAACTGAGACCTATCCAGAAGGTAAGAGACTTCTAAACCAAAGCCCCTTCTACTATATCCCTTGGTATAGCTTTATGACCTTGAACTTGCCCAGCACTTCTGGATGTGCCCATGAGGACGAGAGCCCACAGGAGGTGAATGGGGAGCTCGGCAGGGTTACCATCGGTCTCAAACTTGCTACCTGACTTTCTCAGCCCTGTCACTCCCTGAACACTGCTAGGACTGACCCCTCCAGCCCTGTCTGCCCAGGCACCTTTGCAGAGTGGGGGTTGGCTCGTCCACTGTGAGGGGTGGCCGGGAATACAGGTGATGGTGACCTCGCCGATGAGTTCAAAGCCCTCATAGCAGAAGAAGCGCAGAGACTCGCCCGCCTGGTAGTGATGCTTGTACAGGGTCTGATAGCCATTTTCCGGCACGCCGGGGTTTAGGCACGGCTCGTACTTCACTGCAGGGAACATGTCAGTCACATGCCAGCCGTGCTGCTGCAGGCCACCCAGCCATCCTTCCCAGGTGTCCCCAGACTCACAGGCGCACTTGGGGACCCGGTCGCTCCACTTGGGTGTGCCTGTGTCCCGGCTGTAGCAGGTGAGTACGGCTGCCCCCTCCAGGCTGTACCCCGACAGGCAGCGGTACTGGACATGGGAGCCAACAGGGAAGCCAGCATCCGAGGTGGTGCGGTGCCCATTGGTGATCTCACCAGGGTCGGCACAAGTCATGACTGTTGGCAAGAGGGCAAGGTCAGGGGGAGCTATAGCCTTAAAAAATCTCCCCCCAAAGCCTCAGGCTTGGAGAGACCTGAACCCCCTACTTCCCACTAGTTCCTTGGAATGAAGGGAGCAGGAGTTGGAAAATCTTAAAATTTATGCATTTTATATTTCCAGCTTCTTTGGGAAAACCGAGTGATTGGGGCAACCCAGGTCCCCATCCTAGGATAAAATTTTAAATATTTAACTACTGTACTGAGCATATCAGCTAAATCCTATCAGTGTCAGCCCTGCATGACAGACCATCAGCAGAACAGCAGCTGTCCGCTTTAGAGGGGCCCAGCTATCCCGGTCCCCTCGTCTCGTCATTCCCAGCCTGTTTTGCTCACTAATAGAGCCTGCCAGGCTGGACTGGGGACGTTTGAGTTTACAACCTTGTGAAAGAGTCACAATCATAGCCATTTCTTGTACATAGACCTGTGCAAGGCATCCTGCTAAATGTTTTATTTTATTTTATTTTATTTTATTTATCCATTTCTAGAGAAAGGGGAAGGGAGGGAGAGAGGGAGAGAAACATCAGTTGATTGCCTCTCTCATGCCCCCAACTGGGGACCTGGCCCAAAACCCAGGCATGTGCCCTAACCAGGAATTGAACTGGCGACCCCTCTGTTTGTAGGAGGACACCCAACCCACTGAGCCACAGCAGTCAGGGCCCTGCTAAATGTTTTACAAATACGATATATACTCTGATGATCCATCCTGAGAGGTCAATATCACTGTCATCTGCGTTGGGGGCCAGGGCTCAGGGAAGTCAAATGCTTGGCACACAGTGACTCCGAGAGGGAGTAGCAGACCACTGTGCTGAGTCAGAGATTTAGGTCTCAGCTCAGCTTCAGGCTCGATGTCTTTCCCTGGGCAGATGCCCTCCTGAGCCTGGAGCAGCTGGGCCAGCCTCAATCTCCTCTGAACCCTACCTCCACCCTCTTCTCTCCTATCTGGGTTCCAGACTGGACATCCCATGAATCCTCCCAGAGATGGGGAGCTGTTTCTACCAGAAAGCTTTCCCCGTGTCCAGTCCAAATCTGGCTTCCTGAAACTCAGTGCCCATTGGCCCCACCATTGCTCCCAGGGGCCAAGTAGGAGAACTACAATCCCTTATCCTTGCAATAGGCTTCCCACACTTAGGAGAAAGTGACAAGATGCCACCCCTTTTGTTCTTCTAAAAAATAAAAACTACCAGCTCCTTTAAACATCATCTTTTCTGTGAAATCTGCTACCTCCCTGGGACAAGTAACCCACCCCTCTTCCCACAGCCCTTCTTCATACTTACAGCAGCCACTACTCACTGTTAACACGCGCCAGGCACTGTGTGAAAAACTTTTCATTTGCTCTTCACAACCCCCTATTCCTACTTCACCAGTGAGGAAGCCAAGGCTCAGAGACGTTAAGTATTTGTGGTTCCTGCTCTGTAAGATCCTGAGTTGTTTAACTATGTTTCTCTCCTAGACTGGGATCTCCAACAGGGTAGGGAGGGACCCCAATCCCTCCACATAACCCCCACCCCAACCCAGCACGGGGCTTCAATGACCGCCTAGGCCCTAGCAAAGCAACTCCCTGTAATGTCAAGAGTTGGGGATTGAGAGATTGGCGCAGGACCTAGAGCAGGAAGAGTGCAACTGTGCATTGATGGGACAGGGCCAGATAGGGGTAGAACTCCAACGAACAGCGGTGGGGCCACTAAAAGATGAGGCAGGATCCAGAGGAAACTGGGTCAGAGCCCACAGCAGTACAAGAGAGTGGGATGCAGCCCGGAGAAGATGAGAGTGAGATCCAGGGGGAGTTTCAGGGCACGGAGGAGCAAATGAGTGGAACCCGAAGGGCACAGGGGCGGGACCTGAGGAAGATCCAGGTAGGGCGGAGAGGGAAGGGATGAAACTCCAGACAAGACAGGGGCGGGAACAAAGGACGGAGGCGGGGCGTAGAGTGAAATGGGCAGGGCCCAAGCTGAGCTGTGAAACTTTGAAGGGCGGGGCAGAGCCAGGACGGGGAAGGCGCCGGGCCCTGGCTCACTCTTTTGGCAGGCGGGTGGCGCTGCGCTCCAGGATAAGTCCCACTGGCAGGTGAGAATGTCGGACCCGAGCAGCTCGTAGCCAGGCTCACACTGGTAAGTAAGCACCGTGCCCCGGATCAGGTCCCCGTGAGAAGCCGTCCTCCAGCCCCACTCCGGGGGTGGCAGTTCAGGGCACGTGTCGTTCCTGGGGACCTCTGCAGGGTAGACACAGCTAGTTTAGAGGCTGTCCTGCGACTCAGAGCGCCCTTCCAGCCTTGAGGGGCCTCGCTGGAATCTCTGGCCTGCCGGAACCCTGCCCATCTTGGGACCCTAAGACCTCGGTACCTTTGAAGTGCAATACGAAACCCTGGCCCAGGCCAGGGTTTGGAGGCCCGGGCGGTGCCTGGAACTGCAGCGTGAGGTCGGGTCCAGAGGAGAGGAGGCGGCGGCGCGGTTGAGGTCCCCGCAACTGGGCCAGGACTCGGGCGCTGGGACCGTCCCCGTCGAACAGAGTCAGCATGTCCCCTTCGCGCACATTCAAGCTGCAGGGAGTAGGACCAGGTATGGGGGTTGGATTACGATAGATTCCCAATCCCTAACTCAGTTTATTAATACCCTGCCTACTCTCGGGTCCCGGCCCACATTCCCCTACCGGGTACTCCCCTCCTCAGTTTTGACCAGTTACGGGCTTGTCTGTGCGAGTCTCTCTAGGTTCCACTTGTTCTGTGGCTCCTCCCAGTCCCTGCTCCCCAATCCCCCAACTCTCTCCTCGCTACTAGCTCCTCCCACTGTCCATACCTGGTGATGCACAGCCTAGCTCGACACCAGCTCTGACCAGTCACAGACCTTGATCGTTACCATCCCACCCAACTCCAGGCAGCGCCTGAGGGAGTTTTTGGGCCACGCCCACTTCTGGGTTTGTCGAGTCTCATGACCACCTCATACCAAATCAGTTTACTGGATTTTCCCCGCACCCCACTTTACTGTCTGTCGCTGCTGCGACCACTTGGGCCTCGGAACCTGGAGATCTGCTTCAGAGTGGCCTCAGAAACCACCAGAGTGAGAGACACTAGACCAGAGACCCCTTTTCACAATAGCTCCTGAGGAAGGCTGCTTTGCCCCATTTACTTGTCCTAGGCCGCCTGGCTAATTAGTGATTTGTACCTAGGTCTACCTAACAACCCACACCCCCGTCCTGAACCACCTCTTTAGTCTCCTCTTTCATTAGACCATAAAGTCACCAAATCTTGTGTAGACACAGGAGCCAGCCAGGCTCAGAATGCAGGTCAGTGTGCTGTTATACCATACTGCTGAGCCCATACCCAACGCGCCCTTGGCAGCACCCAAACATACATCTCAACTTGGAGCAAGATGCGCTTCTCTTCCTGGACATGTAGGCCCCACACACAGTCCTGGCCGGGGCTATAGCTCTGGGGCCAATCTGGAGAGAGGACCACACCAGCTGGCTCTGACAGCTCCCCTCCACACATGGCTAAGGTAGAAAGGGTGTCAGATTTAGGACCTAGGTGAGTACACAGTCTCCATTTCAGCGCACTCCTCACCATTCCCGATTGTATGCACCAAGACCACTTCACGGGTTTCCTATTATCTATTACTCACCTGTTTCTTGACATACCTAGTCCTGTGGTGTCCAATCTCCAGCTCCACTCTTAACTAACCCTACCTACTGTCCACCCAATACATGACTTAGCCCAACTTCACTTGTAGCACTTGGAGACATTTGGGTTGCAACCCCTGAAATCTGTAACAAGCCCACTAATTACTCAACTAAGAAAACTGAGTCTCTGAAAGGGACAGGGATTTACCCAAGACCTGGATTTATTAGGTTTGGATATGCAGGTCTCTTGTGAATAGACTTCCCAGAATCCCCAACTCAGGGGCTAGTCTGTAGAATGAAGGATTACTGGCGATACGGAAGGCTCACCCTTGCAGGCTGGCTCTGTGTCATTCCAGTGGGGTTCTGTGGGATCCACACATTCGATGGCATTGGGGGGGCCAGGGGGCTCCAAGGCATATCCTGGGAGGCATGAGAAGGTAGCCAGTGCCCCTGGCCGGTACTCCGGGTCTGTGGTAGTGACATTGCCATGTGCCAGGAAGGGGGCGAAGCAGCGATCTTCCTCAAAGGCTGAAGAGGAGTCGATCACACACATTAAGCATTTGGACAGACAGCAAGGGGTTTCAAACTGGGGGACTTGGGCTGAATTCATGTGTTGCTTGGCCACTCAGTGAGCTGTTTAAAATGGAATGATTTTGGACTAGCTTTCACTCTCCAGTTTCCCCAAAACCCTAACACTCCTCATTCGTATTTATGTTACCTCACTAGCTCTGGAGGGAAACCCCTAGGCTAGTCAAATCCCAGCCATTCATTCTGCAGATGAGCAAACTGAGGTCCAAAGACAAAAAGCCACTTGCCCGATGTCACACAGTAGGGCAGTGGCAGAATCACATCTGAAACACAGGTTGCTTGATTCCCAGCCAGAAACACTTGGCTCTGGAAACTATGAAGGAGGGGCGGGGGGTGGGGTGGGGAGCATGCGTTTGGAGCACTGGCTCCTGCAGGTGTGTTCTCTTCTCATAAGTAACAGCTGGATTCTGATAATCCCTGATTATCCATGTTGAGGCTAGGATCTAAAAGTGCAGCTAACACAAAAGCTACTCAGCTTTGACCAAGTTAGCAAAAATGAACATTTGTAAAGCATTTCTGTTTTCCCCCACCTGATCATGCCTTAGCTGCAAAACTATCTGTGAGGTAAGACTTAGGTGCCTATCATACAGAGCAAAAATCTGAGGCATCAGTAGCCCACCACTATGGAGGCAGGCCTCAAACCTAGGAATTCTCATTGCACTCTCAGAATATAACATGAAATTTATTTTTTAGACTCACTGTTACTGGACTTAATAAAGTGTCATGTCCAAATCCTACACATTCATTAGGGCCCAGAGTCAATTCTCTGCTCCAGTCACACTGGCATTCTCTAGTTCCCAAACAGGCCTTTCTCTACCCCTTTACCATTACTCACACTGTTCCTTTCACCCAAAATGCTCATTCTCAATCTCTCTCTTTTAAAATTCTCTCTATCCTTTAAGGCCCAGCTCAAATGCCTCTTCTCCCATGACCACTGACCTCCTTGTTTCTACCTGTCCAGCATCCAGCCCCTCTTCTTCTGGTAAGTAACAACACTCCTATTTTCATTTTGGCACACATGCCTCCCATAATTCCAGTCCATGAGATTCATTTGGGGCCAAATAGGGATGGCTGCATGATGTGAATCCACCAATAACACCACCTGCCCCTAGCTACAGTGGTATGACCTAAGCCAGGCCAATGAGAACATTTCCTGGCATTTTTTGCTGAAGCTCTTAGGAAAGTGGCATGCTTTCTCTCTTTCTGATAGAGTTACTAAGTTGGTAGTATGTTAGTCTGGAACTGCTTGGTTCACCACAGACTGAGAGTGCCTGAGAATGAAGCCAACAGAGAGGAAAGAACTGAGAGGTTAAGGTAACTGTTTCTTGGTTGTGTACCTGGATCCAGCCATACATGAGGCTTAAACAGAAAAGGCCACCTCATAGAATTAGAAGGGGTCTATATGAAGAGAACTTTGTAGTTTCCGGTTGGGGAGGAAAGTCAGGTTTTTGGAATTCAAACACAGAGACGAGCAGCGTTAGAGGACGTGCTGTGACCACGTGTGGACATCAGGAAGAGGGGAAGGTGCTGGGGTTGGGGCCCGAGGGGAGGGCAGCTACCTTCAAATCGGAGGCTCAGCAGCAGGGGATTAGCAGGTGTCTCTGAAAGCAGCTCCACATAGAGGGACTGGGCATCACTGATGAGACCTCGCTCTGGGACATCATCCATGTCAGAGTCATAGATCACTGGGGACAGGGGACTGCCCCCTGAGCGCACCATCAGCCTGGGGTGAACAGAAGGTGTCCAGGAACTCAGTTTCCCCACAGAAGCTGCCTCAACTCTTGCCTGCACTTTTCATAGCTATAATTTTCAAACATTAATTATATGCCATATGCCATGTACTTTTCTAAGGTTTTACATATTTTTATCTTGTTTAATGCTTACAAGAATCCTTGAGTCAGATACTGTTATTATTACTCCTCATGTCATAGATGAGGAAATTGAGGCACAGAAAGATTAAGAAACCTGCTTAACATCACATAGCAACTACCATCAGAGCTGGGATACCAGCTGGTTAAAGAGCAATAATGACGATAATGCAAACACATTTCTAGTGCTTACTGTGTGCTAGCACCATTCTGAGCACTTTACACATCTTAATGCATTTATCCTCCCAGAAACAATGAGAGGTACTATTATGTCCATTCTGCAGATGAGGAAACTGAGGCATAGAGAGGTTAAGAGATTCATCTAAGTTTGTACAGCTACACTGCCTAAGAAAAAGAATGACTAGCCTGTGTTTGACACAGATCCCAACAGGTCTACCCAAGGTCTGTCTGACTCCCCACTGTAGCCTCCCTATTTCTCTGCAGTAGGGACCTCTGATCCAAAGCCCAGACCCTTACCGATCATTGTCCTCATCCAGTGAGACTCTCTCAAAGTGCAGATGCAGCCGGCGTCCCTCAGCTGCTTCAATGACCCAACGGCAGGTGAGGTTGGGCCCTGCAGCTCCCCCAGGCTCAGGTGACACAATGCGGCCCAGTGTAGCATTGTGGATAGTGCCACCACAGGATGCTGTGGGCAGAGGAGGAACAGGCTAAGGTGACATTTCCCCCCATCTTCAGAGCTGTTGCATCCAGACCTTTGACTGGGACCTGGCCTCAGCATGGCCTTTGCCCTACATGCTCACCCCAGGGCACAGGGACATTTTTCAGGTTACCACTGAGGTAGGAATCCAGATCTGGAATAGGAAAACCCAAGTGGATACCCCAAGGATGGAGATTTCACCAGAAAGAAGATTCCCCAGATGCAGACATGCTGGAATGGGGACTTATTAGGGATCCCCCCAATTGAAGCCCTCAGATGGAAAATCTTCAAGCTGGGATCCCCAGGATGAAGACTCCTCAGGACAGAGATACCTCAAAGGTTTGAGACCCCCCCCAAAAAATGGTTTCCTCTAAGATGAAGAGTCTCCAGAAGAAAGGACCTCCAGAATGGTGACTCCCAATATGGAAACCTCCCATGTGGGACTTCCCAGATGGAGATCCCCCAACGACGGAGACTCCAAGGATCGAGACCTTCAATGTAAAGAGCTCCAGATGGAGGTCCCAGGATAGCAATTCTTTAGGGTCAAAACTCCTCCAAGATGGGTGTTCCCCAAAGATGGAAACCCTCAACATAGGACCCTTCCAGTGGGGCTCCTAGGACAGAAGCCCTCACCTACTGTGGCGGGAGATTCACCTATGCAGCTGGGGGGTTCACCACTCCAGGCTGGCCGGGTACTATTGAAGCAGATGAGGGTCTCTTCGCCCTGCAGCCGGTAGCCTGAATCACAGTGGAAGGTGGCAGTGCCCCCAGGGTGCAGATCTGTCACGCTCACATCCCCATGGGCCGGCCGGGGAGGGAAGCCGCAACTCAGGAGGTAGGCTGGAGCAGGGAGAGGACGGAGAAGGGAGACTCATTTTCCCATGCCACTCTCTCTCACCAGTCCCCCAGCACTTCCTCCCTCTTTCCAGGATCCATGGGGGTACAAGCTGGATCCATGCTGGAGTGCTCCCATGGGCACACTGTCTCATGAAGAAGTAATTTCAACATCCCTTATCTCCCCCAGTCTTTGTAATCCACCCATTTTGGCCCCCATTTTAGAGATACGGTACCTGAGACTCAAAGAAATTCCGGATCCTAGAATTCATTTGCTATGTGACCTCAAGCAAATCAATTGACCAAACCCCATCCAGCTCTAATAAAAACAAATCATATTTGCAGAGCTGTTCAGCTTACATCTTGAGTTCACACTGTGCTTTGGAGGTAGTCAGAGAAACACTGTGACCTATTTTCCAGATGCAGAAAATGAGGCTCCAAGTTATTAAGCGCCTCAGAGCATTTCCTCCCCTCTACACACAGAGTGGACTTTCTTTCACAGAGGTACACTATGGTATTAGAACCTCAGCTTTCACCACAGGAACCAGATGCAACTCCTTTAGGAACTTTGACTATTTTATCATTACAGTCCTTAATACTCACTGCTCTCTAAATGAATAGCCCAGTGTAAGTGAAGTGCTTTGCTTTTATCAAGGAGCTGTTTTATCTTCTCCTTTCTTGCTGTGAGAACTGTGTAATCTCTCTTTTTGCACTGACTGCTAGAAAGCTCAGAACCAGGAAACAAAGTTTTCTCCATACACATTCTGTTTTGTCAGTTTTAATAAACATTACCTGATACCAGTTTTTTCTTACTTAGTCTTTTTAATTTTATTGCTTGAATTCTTTTTTGAAAGCCTCCTGAAAGTCTTCGGAATCATATGGTATAAAACAAATAAATAGAAAGTGGCTTGGCAGTAAATGATGGACTTTGAACTTCATCTCGAAAGAGCTCTCTGTGTCTGTTTTGGAGCAGGCAGAGCTCATCAAGAAGGGCTTCCTGGAAGAAATACACCAAAACTGGGTCTTGTAGGAGGGGCAGACTACAGTTAGCAGAGGGCTTGGGAGATACCACCTTGCCTAGGCCTTTGCTTTTTCTAACCCTCTGGCCCTCAATGATTCTGTAAGAGACCTGGTCTCTCCCTATATATTTAAATTCAACAAGAATTCCCTTGGCGGGGCCCTGGAAAGAGAGACATGATAAGACCCAGGCCTTGCTCTTTGGGAATCTACAGTCTACTGAGGTGGACAGACATAAAAACAACTTTCTAGAGCACAGTGATTTGAATAAACGTTAGCCCCTGTAATGGCTCTCCATGACCAACAGAACCAAGTCTGAATGCTCTAGACTGACATTCAAGCTCCACAGCTGGGTCCTGCCCAGCATATCCACCTCCAATTCCTGTCACTTATATGACCCATATATACTACACAATGTAGATTTGTAACTTCTTATGGTCTCACCTCCATGTTTTTTCACACTTCCCTTACCTGCAAGGCCTTCTTTTGCTTTTTCTCATCTTTCAAGGAGTAACTTCAGTGTTACCTCTTCCAGGAAGTCTTCCTGACCCCTCCTCTCTCTAGTAGAGTTAGTTGCTCTCTTGCCTATATATAGTCCCACATATATAATTTATCATCACATTAACCACTGTCTGTTGCCATTAAGAGACTGAACCAAACCTTATTTATTTTATCTCCTAAAAGCCTGGTCTAACTGATCAACTGATGCAGCCAAGAGGCACTGTGGAACAGTGCAAACAGCACTGGATTTGGAGACAGGCAGATCTGAGTTCCAGGTCTAGCTCCATAGCTTATTAGCCTATATGACCTTGAACAGGCGGTTTCACCTCTAGGGCCTCTAACTTATAAGTGGCAATAATAATCCTTGTCAATTAGCCTTAAAATGAAACAAATAAACAAACATACAAAGTACCCAGACTATAAAAAGTGCTCCGAAAATGTTCATCACCTGCCTCTCACCAGCCTCAGTTAATGAGTGACTGGGAGTCAGGGACTCAGGATTCTGACTTCTGACTCTGCAATGAATTTGTGGGTGACTGAGAAATCCATATAACCTTGAGTCTTTTTATTCCTCTCAGAGGTGAAGTTGACAGTGGCCCACCTCCAGGGCCACTGTGAGGAGCAAATGAAGCAACAATTGCTCGCCTTGGCGTGAGGGGTGATGGAGCCTTTGGCATGTCAGAGAAGCTAACAAGGTCACTCAGGACCAGAGGCCCCAGCTAGGGCAGATTAGGAAGTGCTTAAACAGGGCTTTGTCTCCAAAGGTGCCCAGAGAAGCCATAAGCAGGGAAGACCGAGGTGGGTAGTGAAGGGCAATTTATGAAATAGCTCTGTTCCCCCAATGTTCTACTTAGCCTAGAGTCCTAGAGTCCTATTTTCAATGCCCTAGGGAAGTGGCTGCTTAAAGGAGGCAGCAGGGGGCCATTCTGTAATATCTAGTTCAGCCCTCTGCTGTGGGCCCTCAAGGCATGCCCTTCCTCCCCTATATATGGTCCTGACCACCAACTATATGTCCCTTAGTTCACTGGGCTGCCCCAATACAGGCTTGGTGCTGGGTGCCTCCACCTTACACATATGAGTCCCTGGAACAGGCCCTTGGCGGAAGCCTCAGGAAAGGCTGGAGAGGTCATAAAGTAGGGATATAAGTTATGTGTATCCTGGGAAAGAAATCTGGGGTTAGCAAAGCTAATAAGGGGTCAGGCAAGGCCATGAGGTGATATGAAAGGGACATTGGCTGGACACAGTTCCCTCTATTTCTGAAGAGCATAGAGAGGCACTTTGGAGAGCCAGCAGTGTCTAGAGTGGGACAGTGGGCTGAGCCCCTTGCCTCCGGCACACATGTATGCTAGAAAACACACTTGCATTATGGGAAGGTTCCCCTTACGCACAGGCGAGTGTGGATACACACATGTGTAGGTTGTTTGTGGGTGGATGCTCATGAGTGCAGTCATGTATGGATCTGTCCCACTTCCCATCCCCCAGAAGTCATCAGGATCTTTCTAGGTCACAAATCTGAGGCTGTCACTATCCTGCTTTAAACATTTCAAAGTATTCGCCCCTCCCTTGCAGAAAAAGAGTCTGAATTCCTTACTGAAGCTGACAAGGCCCTTCATGATCCAGCCTACCTCCTGGTCTGGTCTCTTAGCCTACTTCTCTCCTCTCCCTTTCTCTGTGCTTTTACTGTAATAGCAATGACTGACATTTCTGAGCTCTGTGTACCAGATGCTATTTTATTTTATTTTTTTAAAGATTTTATTTATTTATTTTTAGAGAGGGAAGGGAGGGAGAAAGAGAGAGAGAGAGAGAAACATCAATGTGCGGTTGCTGGGGGCCGTGGCCTGCAACCCAGGCATGTGCCCTGACTGGGAATCGAACCTGCGACACTTTGGTTCGCAGCCTGCACTCAATCCACTGAGCTACGCCAGCCAGGACCAGATGCTATTTTAAGCAGTTGATATGTATTAACTCTTTGTTCATCCTAATAATACCATGAGGTAACTATTATAATCCCCGTTTTTCAGATGAGGCAATGAGACACAGAAAGGTTAAGTAACTTGTTCCAGATCACACAGCTAGGACAATTTTGTCTTCCATGCTAAATTACTTCAACTCTTTGAGGGGCTCACAATTTTTCTCCTCTCTGGGTTTGGGAGTGAGTTTTTTAATCCATCTGGACATCTGTCTTCCTCTTTTGCTCCCTCCCACCCTTTCCCTAGCTAACTTACCCTTTAGGTCTCAGCTTAGTTATCATCTCCTCCAAGAAGGTATCCCTATATTCCTTAGGAGAAATTTAGGTCCATTTGATACTTGCTTTTTCTGCCTATATTCCTCCATCATAAGGATATGGGTCCTTAGGTCACTGAATTATAATCTCCCAATTACTTGTCCATCTCCCTACCTAGATTCTGAGTTCCTTGTCAGGTTTACATGTGGTTTGTTCATTCCTGTCCCCAAGGCTAACACAGAGCCAGTATGAAGTGGACACTAGATAAACATATGAGTGAATGGATGAATTGTTACTTGCATGAGTGTACACTTAGACACAAGTCTGTGAAATAAGTGTGCACAGGTCTCCTCTGAGGATTGTTTCCAGGATGTTAGTCAGGAGGAGAAGTACCTGACTTGTGCTGTGCTTGGAAGATGTTCCTATGCCAGTGTGCCAGTGAGTCCCTTGCCCTTCCACCAGCACCATGAACTCCTCACCCTGATAGTGGATCCTGAAGCCACTGCCCCTTGGGACCCGAGGGCTCTGGAAGTGCAGGAGCAGACGATTGGTTGGACTCCGAAGGACCTGTCCTTCTCCCAGCATGGAGGAGTTGGCCAGGAGTCGGGGTGCCAGGCCTGGGGCACCCCCACCAGCCAGCACCAAGAGTTCCTCCTCCCGAGACAGGTTCAGCATTTGCACCTAAAGAAGCCAGATGCAGACCCACCAGGGCAAATCAACCAGGATGGGAAACCCCTGGAGTCCCCCGCCCCTTACTTTTCTTTTCCCTGTATGTGGCAGTCCAAATACCACAGTGACTGTGGCCAAGTTGTAGAACTCTAGGAGTCTTCCCAAATACCAGAAAACAGGCCCATTCAAGTTAGAAAACAGGTTGTCTGGCTCTGACATCAAACTTGTGCACACCCTAGGGCCCAAAGGAAAGGGCTTGAAGGTTTCACAGTCATACTCATATGCTTAAGTCCTCTTACCTGGATCTCAATGCCATAGCCAGGGTAGACATGGATGCTGTATGTGCAGTCCAGGGGTCCCACGGTGTGGCTGGTGCTACTCCCTAAATCTGGAGATTCCACATGCCCTTCACCCTCGGAGATGTTGTTATTACACAGAACTAAAAAGATATAAGTGATTACAGTTGAACAAATACTTGTGTTCTTGCCCTCCCAGCCAAGCAACTCTGGGGGTCCTCATCTGCCTTCTCCCCAGCACCCCCCACCATCTTTATCCAAAGCTCCCTCTCCCATCTGTGCCCAGAACTCCCTTCTCCAACTGCAACATGGATAAGACATAGAAAGGTACTTAGAATGGGTATATAAATGCTAGCCTTTATTGTTAAGAAGAAGCTCCGCTTCTACCTGTACGCAGACTGCTTCTTTCACACCTTCCCTGCAGTCTCTCCCCCATCCATATCCTACTCTCCTTAAACACTACCCCCTTCCCTTTCAGTTGCCGCACCTGGGCTGGTCACCGTGGTGGTGACAGTTGTTGTGGTGATGATGGTGGTCGTGGTCTCCTCCTCTCCTCCCTCAGGCCTGAGAGGCGGGCCTGGGGAAGCGGGACCGGAAAGGGGCGGGGCCGTAGTTCCTGGGGGCGGGGTCAGCAGCTCCGGTGCGGTGGGGCCTGCTCCCCTACCCCACTTAGGGGTTACGGCTGTTGTCAGAGGCCCTGTCCCTGGCTCAGTGGCCCGTGGCAGAGAGGGCGATGCAAGAGTCTGGCTGGCTGGAGGGGTGGCTAGTGTGGGGTCTGGATCAGTTCCTGGGACAGTGCAAGAGAAGTCAGGGCACAGGGAGAGCAAACTGGTGGGCCTGGATGGGGAGTAGGGCTGAGGGAAACTGGGGGTTCCCCAATGAACCCAAAAGACCTTCCCCACAAGGAACAAACCCTCCACCTCTACTTTCCCCAACCAAAGCCTTCACCTCCTCCCAAGGTTTCCACAGCCTGATACCCTTCCCCCTTCTCTTCTGGATCAGGCCCTTCCACTCTGACAGTTTCTTTGAGCCTCTGTCTCTCTGCCTCCTCATTCAAATTTGGTTCCTCTCCTGACTACCCCTTTCTCTCTCCTCTGTGCAGCTCTCTCTCTCTTGCTCTCTCTGGAACTCTTCATTTCTCTGATTAGTATTCATATCACTCTCTGATTTTATGATTCTGGATCTACTAATCTCTGTATTTCTCTCTCTCTCTTTCTCTTTTTGTGTTTGTCTCTCTTACACTATTTTTCTGAATCTGGTCCTCTGAGTTTCCATCTGCCTTTTTCTCTGATTGTCTGTTTTTCATCTGACTCTGTCTCTTGATTATTCTGACTCTTTCTGTCTATACCCAGTTTTGACTCTATCTTCTCCCTCTCTCTCTCTCTCTGAATTTCACTGGCCTAGCTCCCCATCCCCTGAGTTTATGTATCTCCCTCTGCCTCTTTGTCACTCCTGCCACTCTGGGAGCCTCACCCGGCAGGTAGCCCATCTCTGGGCCCCTCCTTAGCAGGGCCCCATGAAGCAGTTCAGCCAAAGCCTCTGAGGCTACTGTGGGGGTCTCACTTCCAGGCTCCAGCAGCGCCTCTTCCTCTTTCATGGGAAGACCTAAGAGATAAGGTTGTGTGAGCCCTTTTACTGCCCCCCACTCCTAGATTCACCAGAAAGATATTTTCCAGAGTTATTCTTCCTCCTCAGCTGGGACTGCAGGAGCTCATAGGGTTCCATACTGAGCTAAGAGCTAAGGTGGGAAGAGGGGCTCCCAGCTGCCCCTCACAATCCTGTACCTTCCCCACCCTCCTTTGCCCCCAGGCTGTGTAAGCCTTCAGTGAGCACCTTGGCTGTAATGAACACTGGACAGCGCTAGCAGAGTGGAAAATGGGGAATGGGGCTGCCTTCATTTTCACCTCAGTGGTCTCCTGGTCTCTGCGGAGGGTCTGACAGCACCTCCCAGCCCTTGCCTCCGCAGTGCCCAGATTTCTCTCTGGATTTCTATCTCTGCAGTGTGGTGTTCTCTCTCTCTCTCTCCATCTCCCTCTCTCTCTCTCTCTCCCCCCATCCCTCCCTCCTTTCTCTCTTTCTCTGCAGTCTCTCCCTGGAGTCTGGCTGGGGGGCAGAGAGGGGAACTGGCTATCTGGTCTCTGAGCAGTGCCTCTGTTCATCTGTCTTTGTTCATACATCCAAGAGCAGTTGTGTGTGCAGTGCCTGGCACCCCTCCCAGCCTCTCCATCTCCTACTCAGGTACTCTGCGTGTTCTGCCACCTCCACAGACATCCCCCAACTTCCCTAGCCTTCCTTCCTAGATTTAACCCCCTGAGACCCTGCTAAAAGCTACCCTCACTCATTTCCCCACTTCCTCTATAGTGGGGTTAGGGGCTCCAGGTACAAGCTGGAAAGCCCTGGCTTGCCCCTTCCCATCAGTTGTGCCCCTCCCCTTCCCTAAGAGCTTGGAAGGCCCAGGGTATTCAGAGAAAGGAGAGTAAAGGACCCTCCTGGGTGCCTTCATGGGCCCACCCCCATGATCCCAACGTCCTTACCCTGAATCCAGGGGCAGCTCAGCAGAATTAGGAACAGCAGCTGGGGAGGCGGCAGGTGTTGGGCCTTGGGAATCCCCATGGCGACTCACACTGATTTCTCTTCTCTGTGCCTATCTTAAATAATCTAGCTGTCACCTTTCCTCTGTCTCCTCTGCACCTGTTAAATAATCTAGCTGTCACCTTTCCTCCGTCGCCTTCTATCTTTCCCTTAAATTTTTTTTCCCTTCTAGGAGTTAGCAAGGAAGACAATTTCTCAGCCCCTCGAGACGGAGGGGCAGAATTGGGCTGGGAGGTCGCCTGAAGCCCACCCCTCCTTGCCCAATCTTCTCTGTTCTCTGCTCCCGAATCTGTGGGAGAGGGGGCGCGGCTCCCGCTGCAGGGGGTGGAGGCAAGAGGGCCAAGAGGGCCGAAGGAGCTAGGTCTCTTGGGTTACCCTCTTGCTCCGCCTCCTGGGTCCACCAAGGTGAAATTTAGCTGAGGAAAGGCAAGACAGCTTCCCGGGGCCTGAGGTGGGTTCGAGGATCGGGAAGATCCCTACTGGGTTTTAGCCGGGCTTGGCGGGGAGGGAAGGGGGCTGCAGAACCTAGAGAGCTGAAGCTCGGGCACTAGAGCTGCGGGAGGGAGAAGCTGAGAAAGGTGTCGAGCCCACGTCAGATCCTGGGGACGGGCGAAGGGAGTGGCTTGGGATTTATTGGGGGGCGGGAGGAAGGAGGAGGAAGTGCAGATGGAAGAAGGAGGGACCATATGAGCCAGGACCATAATCCTCACTCCCTCAGCCCCTAAGGGAGGCAAAGGAAACTCCGGTCCCAGAAATAATTACGGTCCCGTCTCCTCACCGTTACAACATCTGGAATCTGAATCTCCTCTTCCCAGGGTGTCGAGGGACCGCACAGCTGGGTTCGCTCCTGCTCAGCCCCCAATATGTCTTGTCTATAATCCAGGCCCTCCTATGGTACTTCTCCTTCTATTTTACAGAAGTTCATGTGTAATGGGCTTTCCTCTCCTCTAGGAGAATGTCAAGTTTCCACGTTGGTGGGATTTCAACTTTGATTTTTTATTTCTGGACTCTCAGCGCCTCTGAAGCGCCCTTTTCAGCACCACCAGCGCGCGGACAGCTCTTCCCGGCCCAGCCTGTGTGGGCTCTGCCCCCCCGCGCTTCGGCGGATTGGCTGAAGCCGCCGTCACCATCAATCAGGCCCTCCTGGGTCCTGCTCCGAAGGAAGCGAAGGGGGAGGAGGGGTCACAGGCGGATTGGTCCAAGGTTCTGCAGACTCAAGGACAGGCCGAGGCATCCCGGTCTGCAGTCCGCACGTTCGCCCCGCCCCTTGGTTTGTTCCGCCCCTTCTTTTCGCAGTGCGGGGTGGCTAGAGGTTGGCAACTTGCCCCTGGAGCCACACATGGAGCCCCTTCGGGGTCCGGGGAGAAGGAAATTCGGGGACCATCCCCATCCCCCGCTGGCTGAGTTGCTGCTGCCACTGGGCAAGGGGCTGGGGTAGCTAAGCTGAGAGGACTACCGTAGGATGGAGTGACGTCAGGGTGTGTGGGAGCCCAGGAAAGAGCGAGTAGGGAGAAAAAGCACGCGCACGCGCGCGCACCTGCGGATAGGGTTGAATGAGAAGAGAGGGCAGGGAGAGAAGGGGGAGGAAGGAGAGAAGCCGCTGCGGAGGACGACTGGTTGCAGGTCCCCAGGGCTGCGGGTCCAGGTGGGGTAGGAACTGCTGTCCAGGGAAACTAGAAGAAAAGGGGTGGGAGGAAAGAGCGAGAGAAAGGAGGGGTTGGGGTGGAGGGAGAAGAAAGGAGAGGAGGAGACAAGAGGGTGAGGAAAGGAGAGGCAGAGGGTGAGAGAGGAAACTGCCACAAGGAGAAAGAACAGGTGAGAGAGGAGGGTTAAAGGTACATGAAGGTGGAGAGAAGACCTCTGAAGCAGAGAGAACCCAGAGTGGAAATGTGGAAGGGAAACAGCCCAGGGGGTAACCAGGGAGCAGCCATGGAGGATGAACTGGGGGCACAGGGGAACTGGGGTCAGGAGGATGTCCCAGGCCTCTTGGCCATGGTCTCCCTGCCCATCATGCCTACATGGCCGTTGCCCCTGGCCTCCTCAGCCTTTACTCTGCTCCTGGGAGCTCTCACTTCCCTTTTCCTCTGGTACTGCTACCGCTTGGGCTCCCAAGACATGCAGGCTCTGGGGGCTGGGAGTCAGGCTGGGGGTGTCAGTGGTGGGCCTGGGGGATGCTCTGAGTTTGGCAAGCTAAGCCCAGGGAGCTCTGGGGAGCCTGGGGAAGGACCTAGGACAGAAGGTCTAGTGAGCCGCCGCCTCCGGGCCTACGCCAGGCGATACTCCTGGGCTGGGATGGGTAGGGTGAGGCGGGCAGCTCAGGGTGGCCCAGGCCCTGGGGGAGGGCCAGGGGTCCTAGGCATTCAGCGCCCAGACTTGCTTTTCCTGCCTGACCTGCCCTCACTGCCCTTCGTGCCGCGGGATGCCCAGAGACATGATGTGGAGCTCCTGGAAAGCAGTTTCTCTGCTATTTTGCGAGACTTTGGGGCCGTGAGCTGGGATTTCTCAGGGACTACCCCTCTTCCTCGTGGCTGGTCCCCACTGCTGGCTCCTGGGTGCTACCAGCTCCTGCTGTATCAAGCAGGCCGGTGCCAACCCAACAACTGCCGCCGGTGCCCCAGGGCCTATCGGGCACTGAGGGGACTTCGGAGCTTCATGAGTGCCAACACCTTTGGCAATGCTGGCTTTTCTGTCCTCCTTCCGGGCGCCCGGCTTGAGGGCCGTTGTGGGCCCACCAATGCCCGGGTCAGATGCCATCTGGGTAAGTAGATGATGCCTGCAGACAACCTCCTTGCCTCCCTTCTCTGCCACCAGAGATTTCTACACTGTGGTTCTGATCATGCCTCTTCTCAGAAATCTTTGATTTCAGAAACCTGTTTCCCACAGCAGCAGCATTTTCTGAGCTTCAGTTACCTGCAAACCATGCTCATAAGCTTTGCCATAGTCCTTTATCATCTGTACTATATATCTTCATATGGATTCCCCTCCATATTTTTACTTAAAAGGAATCTTTACAGAACATGATTATCGGTATTACTTGCCCTAAATGGAGAGTACTCATGAAAACAAATTTAAACTTTTTAGAAAAGGCTTTTAAGATTCTGGCGAAATAGTCTCTCTGGAACCGAAGCCTACACTCTCTTTGTTCAGAAGGGAGCAGTGTTAGTGGGGGTGTTAATGTCATGATAACACTAAACTGAGATTTGCTTTTTGGTGTTTTAAAGACTGAGGGAAAATGGAGAGGAAAACAATTTTCTGATTATTTAATTCCGTGACCTTGTTTTGCCTAAAATCATCTCCTGTACTACTGCTTAGATGTGTCCTCCACTTGAAGCACACTAGCCTCAGGATCCAATCCAGATTCTTTCTTTCATCTCCCATGTTCCTTTCCTTGCCTTCCCTCCCACCATGATCTAAAAAATAAAGGCCTCTGACTAATCCTGGCAAACGCCACACTCATGCTATGCACTTAACCTAAAATGTCTTTACCATGTATCACTTTATCACCTCCTGGAAAACTCCTACTTAGCCCTCAGGAAACAATTTCAAATGTCACACTTTCCCTGAGATATCTATTCCTTATCATTTGAAGTGGCTGGTCAGTTTTCTCAGTACTTGACTGTGTGGTCTCTAGGCAAGGATGGAGTCATTAGTTTTATATCTTGCAGGGAGGGAAGGCCCAGCACATAGTAGGTTCTTAAATTGTCAGAAGCCTAGGAGGAAATGACGCTTCCTCCAGGAAGCCTTCCCTTTTCTCTGAAACAGAACAGATTGTGCTTTGCACTGCATTTCCCTGTATTTCCTAGAATTTCTTTCAGCCAGCATTGTTTTATAATTATATTCCAAGTCACCTTCCAGAGAGCAAGGAGGAACCACCATAGAACCTGGTATGCCTGGGTCTGTTTCCACAGGTCTGAAGATCCCACCTGGCTGTGAGCTGGTGGTTGGGGGTGAGCCCCAGTGCTGGGCTGAGGGACACTGTCTACTGGTGGACGACTCCTTCTTGCACACAGTGGCTCATAACGGTAATGGGGCTCCCCCTCTGCCAGAAGGAATGAGGGACTAACAGAGAAGGGAAATAGTCATGTGAGAGGCTACAGAATCAGGCCCACTGGCTTGCTGTCCTAGCACCACCATTTTCCAGCTGCATATCCTTGAACAAGTCACACAGCTTTTACAATCACCTGCAAAATGGGGAAACTGCCTTCTTGATAAGGTTACTGAAGGATTAAATAAATTAATGTAGGTTCAAAGTGGTTAACAGCATAAGACCCAGGGCCTGGACCACTGGGGTTCCTGTGCTACTTCTGGCACTTACATGGTTAGATGCCACCAAGTAGGTGGAAATGCCTTAACTGCTTATGTGTCATTAGGCCTGTGGGCTTCTTCCACCTTTGTCAAGGGGAGTGCTAACCTCTCCTTTCATACAACATATACCTCAGACACTTAACTAGCTGTGTGAACTTGGACAAGTTATTTAACCTCTTTGTTCCTCAGTTACTTTGTATAAAATAGGAGTAATTATGGTACTACCTCGTAGTTTATTTTGATGATTAAGAGTTAATGCCTATCGGGGTTAGAACAGTGCTTGGCACTTACTTACAAAGTGTTTGCTTTTTTGAGTATTTGGTGAGTGCTCTGGCATATAAGTGCTTAATGTCAGCTGCTCTCCTGTCTCCATTCCCATGTAGGTTCCCCTGAAGATGGGCCTCGAGTGGTCTTCATTGTGGACCTTTGGCATCCCAACGTGGCTGGGGCCGAGCGCCAGGCCCTCGACTTTGTCTTTGCACCAGACCCTGGAAGGAAGGTGTTGCCTTCAGACATTTGGGTTGGAGAGATACTGCACTCAGGGATGGCTTGAGTGGTAGCCAGGACCTCCTCTCCATTGCAGGGTGTGGGCGGGGCTGAGGGAGGCAACTGGCTAGTGAACATTGAAATACAGATCTTAAATCCTAACTCCTGACTACTTTCTTCCCAGCTACCAGCCCTAGGGCAGGAGTGCATGTCTTCTCCCACACAAATAGACAGGTACCTTCCTGGCCCTTATCCTGGGAGTCAGCACCAGATCCTCAACTCAACTTTATACCAATAATTTAATAGAAAATTAAAATAATAAATAATATGAAACAGATTGAGAAGATAGCTGAGCTGGTGCAGGCCCAGGCCAGCCTAACACAAAGTTAAGGAGGTAGGGAGAAAGGTAAGGGAAAGACCAACTACCCTGCACAGTGGTTGGGGGGCAGCTCAGAATGCGGTGGATGTTAAGGGCTGGCTTGACACTTTGGCATGTATAATGAACAAAAAAAAAAAAGAGAGAATGGGAATTCTAAATCATTTTAAACCAGCTGGTAAGGGAAAATAGCAGGACAACAATGGTGATGAAGGAATGAATGTAGGCCTCTGAAGGGCTCTGACTGAGGGAAGGCGCTGGAATGTACCGTGTTATTAGCAATGAAGTGGGAATGAATGGAAAACAGCCAAAGTGAACTATACCATGCAATAAAAGGACAGAGGGAAGACCCACGACTTGGCCAGCAAAGCCGGGGCAAAGGTGTGGAAAGAGGGACTGGGTCCCAGTGGCAGGAGGAAAACAGGAAAAAAGGTCAAGATTAGTCTTTGAAGACAATCTGTTGGCCGTGAGGACGTTCGTCATGGGTGATGTGGCGCCGGACATGGATCCTGCGGACACGGTGCTCTCGGCTCTCCTCATCCTCCCCTCGGCCCACCCCACCACCTCCAGCTACACCCCCTGTGGCCTCCAGGAGGGCTGGGTCTGGGCCCCGGGGAGTCTCGTAGATCAGGATGTTCAGAGTCTCCTCAAAGATCCGGGCCTCTGGGAATTCCACCTGCAAAAAGCCAGCAACCCCCAGCTCCCACCCTATGGTCCAGTCACACAACCACCCCCTTCCCCCAGCTGCTCCTGCATTGGTACACCTCTGAGTCTTTGCAGTCACAGGTTCTTTGGCCTGGACTGTCCTCTTTGCAACTTCTTTACTCAGCAAAGTCACACTTACAATTCAAGGTCCAGCTCTGAAGTCAGGTGGTTATTTGTTTTCTCTCCTTTGCTACCAAGTCTCTTGGTATATTCTTTCATTAGACAAATATTTACTTAATGACTGCCCTGTACCAGGTGTTGCAAACACTGAGAATGTAGCAGTGAACAAAACAAAGTTTCTATCCACAGGAAGTTTACATTCTAGGGGGAGGACACAGACATACATTTAATAAAATATACACTGTCAGAGAATGACAAATGTTATGGGGAAAAAACTATAGCAGGAAAAGGGGTGGGGATGGTCATGCCTCGGAATGTTGTAAGAGGGAGCTTAGAGAAAACCTCACTGAGAAGACGACATTAGACCAATCGCCAAAGGAAAGCGGGGAAGGGAGCCACATGGGTAACCAGGGGAAGAGCAGTCTGGGAAGAGGCAATAGCAAGTGTAAGAACTCTGGGACAGGAGTGGGCTTAGTGTATTATTTGAACATGAGCAGCAAGGCCAATACAATGACATGGAGTGATGAAGAGAGAGCAGGAGGGATGAAGCAAAGAGGTGACTGGGGGTTCCCCTTCTGTGGGTTGGAGTCATATAACTAATAACTCTTAAGCTGCATTCTAGTTGTTGGTTTATCTTCCTGTCCTCAAAAAAACAGGAAGTTTCTTGGAAGCTGGGTCATTCATTCATGCATTCAATAAATGTTTCCTAGCTTCCACTGTGTAATAAACTCTTTCACTAGCCTCCACTAGTGCTACAAAGATAGGAACAAAATATTGAAAAGATGCAGCCTTACCCTCAAAGAGCTAACACCTGGCTACTAAAGTAAACCCCCTTTGTCTGAGGTTGTTGAGGTGAAAATTCAGGAGTGAAGGTGTCCCAAAGAAAGTGATGCATGGCTTGGGTCTTAAAGATTAAGCACAAATTCATTAGGTACACAGGGATGAGGAAGAATAATCCCAAGTAAAAGGAACAATGTGTGCAAAGTTGGGCGGGTGTGAAATAGTGTTGGGTACTTAGAGACTTGCAAGATCTCTGGAGTATCTGAGGCACATCCATCACATGAAGGTCAGAAGAGACCACACACGGACAAGACCATCACAGATGAAATTGTATGGCATCATGGTTTATACAGGTAAGGCCCCAGAACTCGGAACTCTGTCCTGACTCTCAGTGATGGACTTTCCCCTGCCTGATCTGCTGAGCTGCCTTTGTCTAGGGTCCTGGTCCTGCCAACCACCATAGCCCTCCCTAACCAGGCCCTGAACCCCTTCTGACCTTGGTCTGCTTCTTCTCCGTGGCATAGACAATGGAGGTGCAGCACACCTCGGCGATTTTGCGGCCCTGCCCGTAGAAAGACCAGCAGCAGATCTCGTCCCCCAGTACATCCTTGAGGAAGAGCAGCCGCCCATGGAAGCGCAGGGCCAGCTTGTCAAACAGCTCGATGTTCTTAAGTAGGTTGTCATCTGAAGTGCTGAAGACCGGGGCCCAGGGGACCTCAGCACAACTGGCTTCCCTCCCTCGGTTCCCCCCAGCATAGGGCCCACATACCCAGACTCTGGTCCTGTCCATGGGTTTGGCACCCAGCTGGGAGCTTTCTCCACCCCTAGGGCCAGGCCAAGCAGGCCTCAGCAAGGAAATAAGTAGCATTTGCTGAGAAAATCCCAACACAGCAGGGTGGCTACCCACACAGTCTCTGGAGTCAGGCTGCATCACCTGGCACCCTAGCTCCACCACTTTTTAACTGGGTGAAACTAGGCACATTACTTCACCTCTCAGTGCCTCGATTTCCTTAGCTGTAAAATGGAGATCGTACCTCCCTCAAACATTGTGAGAATTATGTGATTTAATATATGCAAAGCACTTAAGAGTAATGCCAGTTATAAAATAAGCCCTTAGTAAAGCTAGTCATTATCATCTAATCCTCACCTGAACCCATTTACTGATAAAACTGATGCTCAGAAGTGAAAATGACTTGCCCGAGGAACTCAGTGGGTAAGTGGCAGAGCTGGAATTCCCATTCAGGCAGGCACCTTTTTTGTCCCTCTCTGTGGCCACAGCCCTCCCCTTGGGCCAGGAGCAGGGCTGTCTTAAGCCCAGGATTCAACCCAGTGCACCTCCCTACCCCCATGATGGTCACCTGGTGTAGGAGTACTTGTTGTTACTGCGGTTGTGCAGGAGCTTCACCACGGGCTGTTGAGGGAGAGAGGATGGAGAAGGGTGGGGATCAGGTTGCAGGGAGTGGCCCCCAACCTCCACCCTACAGGGCTCAGGGGCCTCACCTTGGAGGTGCTGGCCAGGAGCTGCTGCTCCTCCTGGGGAGATGTCACCATGGGGATGAGGCACAGCGGGGACAGGTTCTCCCTTTTTTGCTGGGGAAGAAGCGGAAGGTAGTTAACAGTACAACCAAATGTCACTCATTCACCCACCCACTTAAAAGCCCTCAAAAGTTGTTTGCTACCTTTTGGGGGGAAAAATCCAGACTCCTTAGTTGTCCACAAGGCTCTGCAGCATCCAACATCTCTGATCTTGTCCCTACCCTTCTCCCCCACCAATGGCCATTTTATGGCACATCCAGCTTGTGTCCATCGAGCCCTTTGCTCTTCCCACTACGAGAGTGTCTGAACTCAGTTGTCTGTGGGGCTGGCTCCTCTGTACCATTCAGATCTCAACTCAGATAGTGCCCCTCAGAGAGTGTTGGTCCTCCTCCCTAAGCTCTGACTAAAGCAGCCTCCTCTACTTCCTTTTCAAAATATCAGTTCACTTTCTTCACGGCACTTGGTTCCTCACACTTTCCGAGGTTTTGGTCTATATAGCTTTTGGTCTGTCTCTTCCCATCTAAGTGGTAAGAGCCTAGGATACAATAGATGCTCAGCAAGTATCTGTTGAATGAATAAATCTGGCTTGCTGGGAGGTTGGAGACAGAATAAGAACAAGACACACAGGCTTATTTCTTTTCCTCTGTCTTCTAGAATCTTCATGTCAAAACTCCTCTCACCTCTCCCATCCTAAAAACAAGACGTGCAATTCTAATACAAATTCCAAAAAGTTTTTCTTGACATACCCATATAACTTTTTCTAAAATTAATATGGAATAAAAGTCTACTAATATTTAGGTCAAGTTTTAAAAGGAGCCAAGAGGAAAGACCAACCTTACCAGATATTAAAACATCCTACAAAGCCATAATAATGAAAAGTGTGGTTTTGGTGCAGAAACAATGGAACACAATAGAGTTTGGAAACAGACTAATGTATATATGAGAACTGATATTTACAATGAGGACACCAAAAATCAGTGGGGGAAGTATGGAATGTGTTTTGATTATTGCTGTGTAACAAATTATTCCAAAACTTAGCAGTTCAAATCAACAATCAACATTTTTCAGTTTCTTACGGGTCAGGAATTCAGAAGGGGCTTAGCAGGGTGGTTCTGTCATGGGGTCTCTCATAAGGTTATAGTCAAGTCAGCCGGGGCTGCAGTAATCTGAAGGCACAACTGAGTCTGGAGGATATATTTCTGAAAAAGTTTGTTCATATGGCTGACAAGTTCATGCTGGCTTTTGGCTGGAAACATCTGATGCCTGTCACTTGGGCCTCTCCATAGGTTTGCTTGAGTGTCCTCATACATGGCAGCTGGCTTCGCCAAAGCAATTAACTCCAGAGGGAGCAAGGTGGAGGCCTCGTTGTCTTTTATGACCCAGTTCTGTCAGCCCTATTCAGTTTAGGAAAAAACTACACAGGAGAATGGATACTAGAAAACAAGAATCATTTGAGAGTGCCTTGGAGGCTGGCTCTCATTGATTCAAATCCCTCCCGTACGCAAAACACACTCACCCCCTCCCAAGATCCCCCAGAGTCTTGTCTTATTACAGCATCAGCTTGAAGTACAGAATCCTATCATCTAAAACAAGTCCAGGTAAGGATGAGGCTTCTTGGATGTAGTTCCTTAACTACTGTTCCTTAAGTACATTTGCTCTTGATCTGAAGACCTGTGAACTAGAGAGACAAGTTTTCTCTTCTACACACCCAATACACAATGGTGGAACAGGCATTAGGATACTCACAGTCATTAAAAGACTCTTGTTCAAAAGGGTAGGGTGGGGGGTCACCGCTCTATGGAAATTCTGTAATCCAGTTGGACAAATGTTGGGAGCTCTCTGATGCCTAGTCTTGTCCCAAGATGATTCTCCACAGTGCTTGGCTCTGCCGAGTCATCCTTTTCCATGAAACTGTCCATGCTTGCAGCTCCACGACTTCCTTAGCCTGTTTCCTGCCTGGAAAACTTTGGGGGTCTAAAGTCTTATTCTCCTCTGAAACTGTCTCTGTCCCTTATAGTGTTTCTGCTAATAGAATTCTCTTAAACCACACACATAAACCTTTGTGAGATATGCTCTTCTCCACTTTGGGCTCATGCCAAGAATGCTGAGGGACAACACCTTAAGCTTTTTAGTTGTACTATTACTTGATGAAATGCTTCTCTGAGGTGTCTTCTTGGATATTTTTGAAGGCTTAACAAAATATTTTACGATCACATCCTCAGGTTCATCTTTAGACCATGTTTTACTGAAAACACCCTGTATTTGATCTATGCCTAGAAGTCGTTTGTTCATTTTAACATCATTCATTATTTGGAAAGGCTGGGAATTTCCAAGCCCAATAATTCCTGGCCCTTTTTGTTTAACTCTTTCTCCATTGGCTTAGTATCTCTTTCATTTTACTGTAAGCAACAAGAAACCTGGTGGCAACTCCAATATTCTGTCTGGAAATCTCTTTAGCTAGGTCACCCAGTTCATCGGGTATGTTTCCTACTTTCTACATTATTGTAAGAGACAGTGTTGCTAAACTTCTGCCACTATATAACAAGGTCACCTTTGCACCAGTTTCAGTAACGTTTTCCTCACTGCAGCCTCCTCAAAGATTATCAGACTTCCATAAACAGACTCATTAAAACTCTTTAGGCTTTTATTATCAATCTCCCTCTTCCCAGTTCTAAAGCCACTCCCACATTTCAACTTTTGTTATGGCAGAATCCCACTCCAGGTACCAAAATCTGTTATTTATTGCTGGGTAACAAATTACTATAAACTTCTTGGGTAAAACAATAAACATTTATTATCTCACAGTTTTTGGAGGTTGGGAACTTGAGATTGGCTTAGCTAGGTGGTCCTGGCCCATGACCACTCATGAAGTTGGAGTCCAGATGTTGGCCAGGGCTATAGTTACCTGGAGACCTGACTGGGCCTCAAGGATCCGCTTCTGAGACAGTTCACCCATATGACTGAGAGGTTGTGCTGACTGTGGGCAGGAGGCTTCAGTTCCTCACCAAGGAGACCTCTCCCTAGAGCTGCTTGAGTATCCTCACATGGCAGCTAGCTTCCCCCAGAATGAGTGATCCAAGAAAGGGGCAGAAACAGAAATGACCTAGTTTTAAGTCACACATTATCATTTTTGCAATATTCTACTGGTGACATAGGTCAGCCCTATTCAATGTGGGAGATGACTAAACAGAGCCAGAATAAGCAGGAAGCAAGAATTTTGGACAATTTTAGTCACTAGCTAGCATGGATTAATAGATGGCAGTGGGAAAACTAGCTCACTCTATGAAGGACAAAAAGTTACATCCCTTTGTAATTCATATTTACAAAAGTGAATTCTATTAGACAAAAAGAATCACATATGAGAGATAAAACTATAGAGATATTAAAACTATGGAATGGAAAAAAAACTTCTTAAATAAGATCTTAAAAAAGAATACACATTTAGGAAAAAAAAAAGGAATCTGACTACATTAAAATCAAGAATTTCTCCAGTTGACAATGGAAAGTGTGACCTTACAAATAATCCCATGTAATAAAGGCGAAGGAATGACAGAATTATAATTATCTTACAACTCTAATGAAATTATTGATTCAGGTAAGGGTAATCAGTTGCTGTGTGGTTGACAGGTAACTATCATTCACACAGTGCCAAAATAACATCACAGAGATTACTTTATAGTTAGCAACAAGGGAATATAACTACAATGGAGGGATCACACCAACATCACCTGAATCAAGGGGTTAATTCTGAGCATCACTAATGATGAGTCATATTAACAATATTATGCCCTGGCTGATGTGGCTCAGTGGACTGAGCACTGGCCTGCACACCAAAGGGTCGACAGTTCAATTCCCAGTCAGGGCACATGCCTGGGTTGCAGACCAGGTCCCCAGTAGGGGGCACACGAGAGGCAACCACACATTGATGCTTTTCTCCCTCTCTTTCTCCTTTCCTCCCCCACCCTCTAGAAATAAATGAATAAAATCTTAAAAAAAAAAAACGATTATGAATGTGTCGATATAACATAATATGAAATATATAAAACTACCTAAAATGTATTCTAACCAAAATGTTTAATATCAAGCCTTTAAATCCATCATTTAGCTTATAGAAAATTCAGAATGGGGCCCATTACAAACCAAATGATACCACAAGTAAACAACCAGACAAATTTGGAAACTAGGTTATTGTGCAGGACCACTGGTGGTCTCTTTAACAAGTCAGCATCATGAGAAAAAAGGGACTGTTTGGGGTTGGAGGAGCCTTGAAGAACATAATAACCAGACATGATGCAAGGATCTAGACTGGGTCCTTATTTAGATGAGCAAGCTATAAAAGACATTTCTGGAATGAATGGAGAAATTTGCATATACCCTGGATTTAGACAAGATAAATTTTATTGACATTAAAAGATGGCAATTATTAACAAATAAAGCAGATTACAAACAGCACATATGACATGACTGTATTTTGGCACATGCACGCAAGCACATGCATACACACACACACACACACCCAAAAAGACCTTGAAGGACATTTGCTATTTTGATAATTTTTACCTAAATTTTAATTTTCTAAATTTCTGTAACATATACATATTGCTTAAAAATAATAAAATGGTTATTTACAATAATAAATAAAGGATTTCCATTCAACAACAGACATTACAGGCAGCTGACATTCTAACAGAAAATACTTACAACATCTAAAACTGACTAGAGGCCCTGGTCAGGTAGCTCAGCTTGTGAGAGCATTATCCCAATACACAAAGGCTGTGGGTTCAATCCCTGGTCAGAGCACATGCAAGAATCAACCAATGAATGCATGGGTGAGTGGAACAACAAACTGTTGTTTCTCTCTCAAATAAATAAATAAGCATAAAATAAGGAGAAAATTACATAAAAAGAAAACTGACTAGAAATTATCTGAAACAGACTTTTTCAATTGGGGTTCTTCACTGAATCTGAAAACCCAGCAAAAAACATGAGTAACTATTTTCTCAACTCTCCCAATGATGATAGGTAAATAGTACTATTTTAGATACATAAGAGAACAGTAAATTTATTATGTAGGATACATACCTTAGGGTAAGAGGGCTTAATTCTCCCTATAAGCTAAACTAAAATATACAAGGATCACCTGTAAAGCAACAAGATCAAAAAAAAAAAAAACAAAACTCAGTAGAAAATTTGGTAAAGAATATGAATAGGCAATTCATAGAAGGGGAAACCACAAAAAACTAATATATGAAAAGATCTCATTAGTAATCAGGGGCATGCAAATAAAAATGAGATCACTCTATACTAATTAGATTGGCAAAATCAGAACAATGGATCTGATTACATAGCAACACATAGTATGCTATGTGTTGCAGAATGTGCAGAAACAAAATACCTTATGCACTGTTGATTAAGAGTATAAACTGCTACAGCCATTTGGGAGAGTAATCTTGATGATACTGTTGAAAGTCATTTGTATGTGTCCCATGACCCAGCAATCCCACTCCCAGCTACAATCATGAGAAACCCTGACCCAGCACCCACTAGGGCACATGTATAAGGATGCTCATGGTGGTACCGTTTGTTGGGGCAAGAAGTGGGGAGGCAATCTAGGTCTCCATCCTCTAGTATGTAGAGCAGCATAAATAGATCTTGAAAAAAGTGTTGAATTACCCGGTAAGAAAACAAAACACATGATCCATAACTCAATGCCACTAATGGAAAGTTAAAATGCATATAAAAGAATGCTTTAGCTGTCCTGACTGGTATGGCTCAGTGGCTGGGTATCGTCTCACAAACTGAAAAGTCACTAGGTTCAACTCCCAGTAAGGGCATATGCCTGGGTCAGGCAGTGTTGAAGGTCAGGTCCCTGGTTGCGGGTATGTAAGAGGCGACCACTCAATATTCTCTCCCTCTCTTCCCTCTCTCTAAAAATAAATAAATAAAATCTTTTTAAAAATTTTAAGAATGCTTTAGCTTTTCAAGAGTACAAACATAATCCAAGCATATGTATCAAAACATTAGAATTGGAAGGGTACCTATGAGGGAAAGGGACATGGCAGGGGATTGAAAATGAAGAAAAAAATAAGGAGAAAAGATTTCATAGATGATTAAGTGTCACACATTGAGGAGTATGATGAACTCAATATTCTGTACCTAAATCTTAAAAACAAAATCCTCCAAACAATCAAGCAAACACTAGTCAAGTGAGGTGGGAATGGTCTCAGGGAAACCTGGAAAAGAGATAGCTGGAGTACAGAAGAAAAAGCACTTGCACTTGAAAGTCAGATAACCTGAGGCTGAATGTGAGCTCTGAGCTTAGTAACTCTTTGACCTTGGATGCACCCCCAACTTCCCTCATTTTTAAACAAATATCAAACAATGGTACAAGATGTACATACAAGCAGATAGCGGAATTACTCCTGACACACAGGAGTAATTTTGCGGGTGTGAAAACATTAGATGAACATTAGATTCAGGAGTGGGTGTGAAATAACATTAGATAAATGTAAAACCATAGCTCAGGAATGTACTTCCAAGAACATCCAGTTCAAACTGCAAGTGGTTAGCCATTAATGGGTCATGAAACAAGTTAAATGTGTCTCAAACAGCATTAACAGGAAAAAAAGAAAACAATATGTCAGAGTGTATTTCACTGAAACTATCATTTTCTAAATCTTATTTCAATTATTTATATATATAAATATACATATATCTAGCATTTTATTTTTTCTATGGGAGGCAGTCATAAAGTTGGAAAAACATAGATACAGCCCAAAGAAATCCTATACTTTTGGATTCCAAGAATAAGTATTTCCTAAGATAACAGACATCTGCTCATAGGTGCCACTTTTTAATATATAAAGAACATAAAAAAAGAAACCCTTATAATCTCCATTAATATTGTATCATAAAAGGACATTTTTAACATTGTAGAAATAGGAGAGAATAAAAGGCTTTATGTAAAACTCACTACATTGTACATATTTTCTCATTTTCCCATCTTTTGGAACATGAGAACAGAATGCCAGAGGTAGGAATTGACTCACTCAAGGTTACCCAGTCAGCTGTGGCGGGGGTGACACTTAACCCATATGTCCTCAGAACCCTAAGAGATCTACAGAAATGAGGCACAGAGGAAGGGCTCTGGAATCCCCAACGCTGTTTTATTGGGGGTGGCCCTGTTTCTATGAGATTTCATTGCAAAAAAAAAAAAAACTTAAGGCCCTGGGGTGGGGTGGGGTGGGGTGTTGCCTGCCAGGATAGAACCAGATTGCAGAGGTCATTATATTCCAGTTTAAATTTAGATTTTTTCCCTAGTGGCACAAGAGAGTTATTTATGATCTGATTTCTGGGCAAAAGGGAGAATGAATTGGGATTATGTCTGAGGATAATTAATTAGGTGATAGCGTAACAACTGGTTTGGCGGGGTAGAAACAAGAAGCAGAGAGAGAAGTCATTGAACCACCAAAACAGTCTTGGCATGAGATGTTGAGGGGCACCATTGCTGAGGCAGCAGGAATACAGAAGACAGCACCCATGAATTTTCCAGGGTCATGGCTAGACAAAGCCAGGCCAGAGGCAGCCTCTCTACAAAGTACCCCATATTTCCTTTTATTTTTTTAATGTCCTGATATCTAACTACTTAAGCTGCTCTCCAGGGACATGGGCATAGGGGTGGAATTCAGGAGGTGGGGAAGGGACCCTCACCTGCAGTGCCAGCTGACAGTCCTCAATCAGGCCCTGTACCAGGTAGTAGCGTGCCTCACCGAGGAGCTCCCCCAGTTCTCTGGTGCTCTCAGGCAGTGGCACAGACCCATCCCGAAGGTAGTTGAGGATTGTACCAAAGTGGCGGCCGCTGCGGTCAATCAGCACCCAACCTGGTGGGGTGAGGAGAGGAAAGATAAAGGATGGCTTTTCTGGGGGCCCTGGAACTACTAAATTTTTATGAAAAGAAGGATTCTAAAGCTACAAGTCTCAATTTTTCCTCAAACTTCTGCCTTAACCAAGAATATACTGTTAAAACATGCCCAGTGAGTGTTCCCCATAGACCCCTTTTCAACCCCAAAGAGAACTGATTCCCTCCCAAGTCTGTCCTACAGTGAGAAGGTTCTCACCATGAGAAAGCTCTTCGAGATTACCTTATCAATAACCCTCTACCCTTTCTTGTTAACTCCAGCCATTCTATGTAATTTAAATGTCTACTCCGCCCTCTAAAATCACTACCATTTTAACCTTTATATTCACCATAGAACTTATTACTATCTGTAATTACATGCCCCCCTTTTTTGTATGTTTACTGTTATCCCGTCCCCACAAAAAAGTAAACTCAGTAAGGTTAATCTCCTCAGATTCACTTACCAAAAGAAAGTATCTTCAGCACTGCCACTTTACAAATATCTACTGAATAAATAATTTCTTCACCTTTAAATTTTTGAAAACTGACCTCCACCCCCCCAAATGTTTATTTTCCTGTTCTCACAATCCTTGTTAACCCCCTCTGAATTCCACCCCCCACAAACTTGAAGCTTCCACTTGGCATGTGGGGCCCAAACCTGAATGCAACACTCCAAGAAGGTAAGGTTCACCTGCCAAAGAGAACTCTCCCCCCTCCACTCCGGTGTCCCTGGCAAACCCAGAGCAGCCTTCTCCTTCTACAATCTGCATTTACAGATGGATTCCCAGAATGTATTAAGGGAAACACTAAGACCAACAAGATCCTCCAACTCTCCAGGCTGGTTGTGAGCAGTGCTAAGATACAGTGGGAAACAAAGGGCTAGCCAGTTGGGAAAAACTGATGAAGGTGGCCTGGAAGGGTGCTGCTGGCAGCAGGGCTGGTTCCCAAGTTTTTCTGAGCTGAGGACTGAAGGGTGGGAGTGATAATGAAAATTCTGAAGTGACATGTTGAATCACTCACCACAGCGCCTGGCAGAGCTGGGGAGGGAAAGTTGTTCCCTAAGTGTATGTAGTTATTGCTGGGGGTAAAGACTGGAAGAGGAAGGAGATTATGAATGAAAAAGGGGAGATGAGATCGGGTGTGGGGGTTGGTGGAGGTGAGAATGACCTGACTGGATGGTAGTGAAAAGAGAGAAGGGGCAAGAAGACACTAGGCGAGGAAAAGACTAGGGGTAAGCATCCAGAGGATGGAAGACAGCATAAGCGAGGGTATTGCAGTACCTCCGGCGTCCGTGAGTACCTCCGCGCGGCCGCTAAACATGGTCTTGAGCATGGTGTCCTGTCCCGTGAGGGTGCGCAGCGTAGTGTAGTGCAGCGAGCCCCCCACGTTCAGCTTCACGTACTTGCTGTTCGGGGTCTGTGGCTTGAGACCGTCCGCGGCGGAGCCGGGTTCGAATCCCCAGGGCTTAGGGGCTTCCAGGGATAGGGCCTCGGCCACCGCCGGGCCCGAGGCCTCGGCCGACATACCGGGTGCTGGCGGCCGACGGCGACCTTAGGCTCTTTCCGTGCCCTCCGCTCCCAAAGACCCCGCACCCGACCCCCCTGGCCAGACGGCTGGACCACGCGCCCACACGTCGCCGCTACTCAGCGACATTGGCCATCAGTCCCAACACGCCAGTACCTCCGGAGAAACTCAGCCCAGCAGCTGCGCAGGCGCCTCAAAGTACCGTGCCTAGCCTCGCGAGGGCGGAAGTGCGGAGCATGCGTATTGGCCTTCCGCTGGGTAACGGGTCAATGCGGTGGGGCTGCGGCAGGCTGAGCTGAGGCCACGTGAGGTGCACTCCCTTCGTTAGTACCGGGGCCAGATCCCGGAGGCACCTGGCCACCTGCCTGGTGTGGACAGCGACGTTCCTTCTGGGGGTTGGGTTTCCACTCCCAGAGCGGTTCCCGGGCAGGACTGGAAGACTGAGGCCCAGAGAGGCAGGCGATTGGGCAAGGTATCCCGCCTGCCAGCTCCCCAAAAACAACAACAAAAAATCCAGCTGAGTGAAGATCAAGTCGGCTTTATTCAACCATTCTTGAATCAGCATCCCATCTAGCAAATAAGCACTCCCCAAGCTACAGAAAAAAGGTTTTCAAAGGCAAAAAAGGGGCAAAAAAAGGCAAAAAAAAAAAAAAAAAAGGAAAACTATTAGCAAAGAATACATTGTTTCGGGCAAGGTCGCCCTCCCAAGGGGACTGGAGGAAGTCATTCCATGTTAACGGGTTAAAAGTTACACTCCTGGGAGGTCTTGAGGTTACAGTTAGGTTAGGTATTAAGTCTTGGTTCGCTGATGGGCTTAGCACAGATGACTCCCATTCTGGGCCTGTTGTTTCTTTTTAACAAGGCGGAAGAGGAGTGGCGTCCCCCGGGGAGGAGGCAATATTGCTAAGGTATGCAGAGTGTGAGTAGGTAAGATCTTCACGGAGGGCTTCTCTGAGGAGGTGGTGATGTTGAGCCGAAGCTGAGAGGAAGTGGCCAGGAAGAAGTGTGAAGACAGAGTTTCAGGCAGAGGGAAGGGCAAATACAAAGACCCTAAAACAGGAACAAGCTTGGTATATTTAAGGAGTAGAAAAAATGTCAGGGATGGCTGGAGCAACTGGGCAAAGGAAACTTCTTAGATCCCAGTGTGGTGAGATACCCAAACGTGAAAGAAAGAAGAAAGATAGAAACATGTTGACAACAAAGTGTGGTGAGAAATGTGATGTAACCATACAGCTTAATGTCTGGCAGGCAGATTTGCTGCAGGGAAAACTAAACACAGAATTATAGAACTATAGGGAGGAAGTGGTGTGTTATGTCCCTGGGAACTGCCTTGTTTAATCTCTTTTGCCCAGAATCAGGACATTTTCCCTGGTCTCTCATCAGTCACAGTTGGCCTTTGGCCACGTTCTGGAGGTACCAGGTTGCACAGCACCATCCTTACCGATCCTTGAGCCAACTAAATCTGGGCCAGATACCTACTTCCTTCGTGTTTTCTCACGGTTACTCTAATTTATATCCTTATCTTCCCAAATGATAACAGTTTCACTAGGGACAGTTTAGAATTGCAGTAGCCATTTTGGGAAAGTTTTGACAAAAACAAGATTTTTTTTTTTGAGAGGTACCTCAGAACAAAAGGGGAAAAAACTGTCATGAGGAAATTGTTTTGTTTGTCAGACAGATTATTTTGTTGAACATAGGCCATCTTTTACTTCTGTGCTTTGTAGATTAATAAATGCTGCCTTTTTAAAAAAAGATTTTTATTTATTTGTAGAGGGAGAAAGAGAAGGAGAAAGAGGGAGAGAAACCGATGCATGAGATGCATCAGATGCATCAATCGGTGCCTTGCACAAGCCCCCAACTGGGGACCTGGCCTGCAACCCAGGCGTGTGTCCTAACTGGGGGTCAAAACTGCAACCTTTCAATTTAATCCACTGAGCCACACCAGCCAGGACTGAATGCTGACTTTTTAATTGTGTAGCTCTATTAATTTGTCAAGTGCCTGCTATCTTTTCTTTTTGCAGAGGGATCACCGATTAAATTTTAGAGTGGAAATTTCATATTTCTGTTAAGTATTTAATAGTTCCCCATCACTGTTTTGCTGTTTCTTTCCCTCTCCTGGAAAATGTTAAACTATTAAAATTTATTCCATTGTATGTGTGTACTCTAGGAATAAGCAATCTACTTAAATACTTAAAAATGTCTTACAGAATTGTTATACTATATACATTTCTTTGTGGGCACTTAAAAGTGTATTTATGTAACAGGCTTCATTATTATAACTACAAGATAAAACAAGGCCTTAGTTCCAAGATAAAAGAAGATATTTGGCATGATCTATGTCTTTCGATTTGCCATCAAAAATAATGCCAGCACAATATTTTGGTTTGTACAAGATCAGGGTTAATTTTCAAATGATTTAAACCTTTTTAATTGTTGATACTGACTTTATAAATTATTACCATAGATTTCAGTTTTATTTATCTTTTTAAAGTTTTCTTTTTTCAGTCACTATGCTGTACATTATTTTCCCAGAATTTCTTTATAGTTGGAAGTTTACAAATATATATTTACATATAACTGGAAGTTTGTACCTTTTAAACATCTTTTCCCATTTCCCCCACACCCCACACCCCCTTCTAGTAACCACTCTTTACTATCTTTTACTTCTCCCCATCCCATTTTCCCTCTGGTAATCACCATGCTGTTGTTTGTGTCTGTGAAGTTTGTTTTTTTTCTTAATCCCTTTTCCTTTTTCACCTAGTCCCCCATCTCCCCTCTCCTCTAACAGCTGTCAATCTGTTCTGTGTATGTATGAGTCTGTTTCTATTTTGTTTATTTTGTTCATTAGAGTCCACATATAAGTGAAATCATATGGTATTTGTCTTTGTCTGACTGGCCTATTTCACTTAGCACAATACTCTCCAGGTTCATCCATGCTGTCACAAAAGGTAACGTTTTCTTTTTTAAAAAATATATTTTATTGATTATGCTATTACAGTTGTCCCATTTCCCCCCTTCACTCCCCTCCACCCTGTACCCCCTCTCCCACCCACATCCCCCCCCTTTAGTTCATGTCCATGTGTCATACTTATAAGTTCTTTAGCTTATACATTTCTCATACTATTCTTACCCTCCCCCTGTCTATTTTCTACCTACTGTCTATGCTACTTATTCTCTGTGCTATTTCCCCCCTCTCTTCCCACTCCCCTGTTGCTAACCCTCCATGTGACCTCCATTTCTGTGGTTCTGTTCCTGTTCTAGCTGTTTGCTTAGTTTCTTTTGGTTTTGCTTTAGGTGTGGTTGTTAATAATTGTGAGTTTGCTGTCCTTTTACTATGCATGTTTTTTTTTATCTTCTTTTCTTAGATAAGTCCCTTTAACATTTCATACAATAAGGGCTTGGTGATGATGAACTCCTTTAACTTGACCTTATCTGAGAAGCACTTGATCTGCCCTTCCATTCTAAATGAAAGCTTTGCTGGATACAGCAATCTGGGATATAGGTCCTTGCCTTTCATGACTTGTAATACTTCTTTCCAGCCTCTTCTTGCCTACAAGGTCTCTTTTGAGAAATCAGCTGACAGTCTGATGGGAACTCCTTTGTAGGTGACTGTCCCCTTATCTCTTGCTGCTTCTAGGATTCTCTCCTTCATTTTTACCTTGGCTAATGTAATTATGATGTGCCTTGGTGTGTTTATTCTTGGGTCCAACTTGTTTGGGACTCTCTGAGCTTCCTGTACTTCCTGGAAGTCTATTTCCTTTGCCAGATTGGGGAAGTTCTCCTTTATTATTTGTTCAAATAAGTTTTCCATTTGTTGCTCTACCTCTTCCCCTTGGTACCCCTATAATTCGGATGTTGGAATGTTTAAAGATGTCCTGGAGGTTCCTAAGCTTCTCCTCATTTTTTTTGAATTCTTATTTCTCCATTCTTTCCTGTTTGGTTGTTTCTTTCTTCATTCTGGTCCACTCGATTGTTTTGAGTCCCAGTTTCCTTCCCATCACTATTGGTTCCCTGTGCATTTTCCTTCATTTCTTTTATGGTAACCTGCATTTGTTCATCTAATTTGTGACCAAAATCAACCAATTCTGTGAGCTTCCTGATCACCAGTGTTTTGAACTGTGCATCTAATAGGTTGACTATCTCTCGGTCACTTAAAAGGATGAGTTCTGGGGCATTGATTGATTTGTTCTTCTGTTTAAGCCATCTCTCTCTCTTTTTTGGTCTGGTCACTCCTGTTATGGTGAGGGGCGGAGCCTTAGGTGTTCACCAGGGCTGGGCACCCCAGTCACTAGATTGTGATGTTGTATGTGGGGGCGGGGTCGAGAGGAAACAATGGCAGTTGCTCCGTTTTCCGTGGGACCTCAGTCACTTCTCTGGGATCCTGGGCTGCATGCTCTGCCCTGCTCCACAATCGCCACCTCACTGGGTCTGCCAGCTGCCGCCTGTGTACTCAGCGTCCACCCGCTGTGATCTTGCGCGTCCCAGATGCCTTACGTGCCCCTGGATGCCTTATGCACCCAGTTCTCTCTGCTCTCCATGCTGCGACCTGTACCTGGCTGCTCGTCTCTGCCTCTCCTACTGGTTTGGATGAATGGGTCTATTTTAACTTTTGGCTGTCCGACTTCCATTCAGATAAATTTTCTGTCAGTTCTGGATGTTATTCTGCCTCTAAATTGTTGTTGTTCCAATCTTGGTTGTGTGTGGAGGTATGGTGTGTCCACTTATGCCTCCATCTTGGCTGGAAGTCACGTTTCCTTTCTTATGGCCAAGAAGTATTCCATTGTGTAAATATACCACCTCTTTTTTATCCACTCATCTACTGATGGACATTGGGCTATTTCCAGATCTTGGCTATTATAAATAACACTGCAATGAACATAAGGGACATATATTTTTTTCCAAATCTAAATCAGTGCTTTGGATTTCTTCAGCTGTATCAATATTTTCTAAGATACTTATATATTATTTTCTCTACAGTTATTCTTCATTTTGCTTTTTCTTAAATTCTGGCCTCAAATTTAGACTAATAAAATCATTAGGATATTGTGTATACCTAACCTATCTTTGGGTTTCTTAAAATTTCCATTAGGTGCTCTGGCTGGTGTGCCTCAGTGGATTGAACACTGGACTGTGAAGCAAAGGGTCGCCAGTTTGATTCCCAGTCAGGGCACATGCCTGGGTTGCAGGTCAGGTCCCCAGT